GCAATTATAATATTAGTAGTATTATTTTTTTCAAATAAAGTACCTTGGATTTTTTGTTTTTTTTTTGTCGAGGCTTTTAAGTTACAACGTATTAAGAGTTTAAGTTGAAAAGCAAACACTTTTTTATTCATAAAGAGTTGAAAAACAAACATTTTCATCTATTTAAGGAAATAATTTTTGATATCACAATTATACCATATATATTTGTCTTTGAAACATAAGTCACGAAACTATTAAGCATCAAATAGGAAAAACACACATCAGTAAAAGCCAACAGGTTGGTCCTTAAACACTTTTATCACAATAATTTCGTGACCATTTCAATGTCCTTGTGGTCACGATTATTATTAATATTAGCATATATTATACAATGCATAGAACTACTCGTAGAATACGTTCTGTTCTCTGTAACTTATTAGCGAGTTGTAGTTTGTCTGAAATTCTCGCATAGCTTACTTCTTCTTCTTCTATCTGGCAATTTCCCAGCTTTAGCCAGGGTCTGCCTTACATGTTATAAACAGTTTTGGCTAATTGTTTTTACGACCCGCCGCCTGCCTGACATTAACCCTCTTTGGTAATGCATTAATCAGTGATGTCTAAATACTCTTAGAAAGTACATATGATTCGAAAAAATCAATAGACCTGGTCAGGATCGAACCCGCGGCCTCGGGCATTACAGGCGATCCTTTTAACCACTAGTCCACCACTGACTCTGACTAACCGCATAGCTTACTATCAAGCTCATATCAATACTTGAAAAACCCGTATCGAATCATACGAAATTATGTTCCGCGCTCGTATCTTCATAAAAAGTCGAGTAAACAAAAGCTTTTTAAGGCTACAGTATTGAATTCCGACCTTAACACCGTTGTGAATTTGTCCGATCACAATTTAATAAAAATCGCTGATGCGGGTGATTACATTTGACGGCCGGGCGGCATCACGCGTTCGAGACTATACAAAAGTACAAAGGTCAATATTGCACCTTCGGATTATTTTTAAATGAGGGTCCTAATTTATTTTTTTTGTAGAAAAAAAAAATGATAAGACTAGTATAATACTGTGACTTTTCCTACATTATTATTTTTCGTCTTATTTTCATTTGGATCTGCGTGGCTGTTTAAAATTCCGCATCTTTCTATGAAAAGCTGGATGGAGTACTTGTTAATAAAAGTTGTTATTTTCTTAAAATAACTTTGTTTTTTAACTTGAGTTGATAAAAACTAGCTGTAACTTATATGTTTTCTATAGTATTTATAACTATTAACTTATTTGTCATAAATAGTTCCTTTGAAAGATGTGTTGTAAAAAGCGATATATTTTTCCTCAATACATATTTTATATGTACAGCTAGTAATTATATAAATTATCGTCCCAATAAAAATATCTCAAAGTACATATAGGTAATATAATTTCGTAAAAGTGTTACAGTGAACTTACCGTTCGAGGTCGCTTTTAATAACAACCAATTAGAACTTAGCGACACGAATCACTTTTTTTCATATAGTTATATAGTGTTTTTACCTCAAACAAGTTGACGTATCAACTCTACAGCGAGTAATCAAACGAGGTATTACTATAAACATATATATATAATAAATGTATACTTTCATTCCTTTAATATCTTTCTTTAACTTTCTGTGACTAATTTAAGACTTGAGATAAACATTTAAAAATAAACTGGAACGTGTCCAAAACACAATTGTAAATAAATTTCGTCATAGAAAATTTTTATTATAAAGTACGTACGTGTCGCTCAACCTGTTGCGGTGACAAAATATCATATTACTCTGAATTTTTTATTTTATTTTACTAAGTACTTTTTCATTATCAAATTATTATTAATATTAAATTTTAAACATATCAAAAAAAAATAAAAACGTAAGATTTAGCTTATCAAACTCAAATTATTATTAATATTAAATTTGATACATATGAAAAAAATACAGAAACGCAAGATTTAGCTTATCAGACGTGTGTAGTTAAAATTACTCTTCATTGTCTTAACGGTAAGCGGAGATAAAAATGTATATAGAATAAGTTACTTAGAGATACTGGTTCCTTATCCCTCAAGTCCTGATCAATAAAAACTAATATTGGACTAGCTGATTAAGTTGTCGATACAATCAAGGCCAGACAACATAATAATTGTAATTGGATCCAGAAGATGATGTAATATAGTACCTTACAGAATCTATAACTTAACAAACAATATACGAAATAAATTATTATTGAATTATTGATTATTGGAAACAAAGACTTTCTTAATAATTCTATTATGTGAATTTCAGGCGTCAAATATCTCATCTACTGTGGTCTGTAATATGTACAAACCAACATCTGACAGCACTTTATAATATACATAGTTATATATTTACTAGCTTTCCGCCCGCAGCTTCGCCCGCTTGGAATTCGGTTATATCGCGTTTCCAAGAGAACCTTTCAAAAGTCTGGAATAAAAACTATCCTATGTTCTTTCTCAAGGTCAACTCTATGTCTGTACCAAATTTCATTAAAATCATTTCAGTGGTTTAGGCGTGAAAGCGTAACAGACAGACAGACAAACAGACAGAGTTACATTCGCATTTATAATAATCGTAGGAATTTATAACTTGTATTTTATAAATTGTACAGTAAATAATTAAGGTATAATATAAAATGTATAGCATATTTTATTTAATCTGATTGAATAGCTTAAGATATTTCAAGATTAAAACCCAGTATTAGATTTAAATTTATAAAAATATAAGAGAAATTTTTGCTTCAACATCCTTAGCTTAAATATACATTATATATAAGTGTTATATACCAACAAGTTCTCTGAAAGAGAATGATTAAGTAAAATACTTTTTATAACAATACAAGAATACGTAACATCACAAATCTCATAACTTTGTATAATATTCAAAACGTTCTAGTTGCGAGGGAATTCACATAAAATTTACTCCACATTCAGACGAATTTAATATAGTGGAAAATGACGTTCACTGGAGCATATATATTTTTAAAATGTTTTATACGTATCCGCAAAACATTGAAATAAAAAATCTTTGTCATATATTTTTAATGTTACTAGAAAATTATTGAGTGTAATTGTATCGCGAGCATAGATCGCAAATGGACTATGGACAATGGACACGAAAGAAAGGAGGACGCAGACGTAGAAAAAAGATGATTGTACATAGAAATGATTTATCGATGTGAAATCAATGCAGACATCATTTTAAAGTGTGTTATGAAGTAGGAACGAATAGTCATCATTAGATAATAAACATAGTACGATAAAAAACGTCTTCTATTCGACCGTTTTTTAAATATCCACTCTTTAAATCTCTAAATATAAAACTTTGACACTGAACGGGAATCAGAACTTTTATCTGGCCTTGTGAATGTGAAATAGCTTTGAACCGAATGAGAGACATTAATTATAAACAAACAATGTGAAATATGGGATATGATTTAAACATTTATTTATTTTGAATTGAATTTATTTTGTCTTAGCTATATTCGTTATTAACACGTCTTTTAAACAGTTTATTATAGATATATGTAGATGAAACTTAATAACAATATGATGGAAGAATGTATAGTAATATATTTTTCATTTATCACTGTTTGCTTGATATAAAAATTATGTAAGAACTTAATAGGAAACTCCAGGTAGGTGAGAATTACCATAATGAAATTCACACTGATACATACAATATGTATCATACATTAATCATTTATAAACTATTAGTAATATCGAAAACGTTATTGGAGATATGAAGTATATAAATTGAAAAATAAAATATATAAATACATATATATAACGATTTATACGTACCTATAAAATCTTACTGAATTGTGTTCCTTCATTATAGTATATTTTAGCAAAGTTAATCTTTTAAAAAGATATATATTTAAATCATATAAAATTAATAATATTAAAATTAAGAATTCTATAAAGAACATTTTATGAATAAAAACAACATATACTTAACAAGGTAGTTTATGATATTTAAATCTTAATTTTAAAACTCTTTGGAATTTTAAATCTGCTAGAGAATTGTAGGATTTTTCAATATTGGCCTCGTTGTTAATCCAGAGGCTAAATCGACTAAGCTGACGGTCTTGTTAATATTTATGCTATTCTATGGGATGATTATATGTGAAAAATATTTTATTAAAACCGAACAAATGTGTCATGTTTTAAATATTCTACTTTAACCAAAAATCAGGCATCAAGAAGACAACTCACTTATACATATAAATGGTTGACTAAAAATATACAATAAATATTTTGAAATTATATTTTCATGTCAGTCATAAATTTCCTTTCCATAACATTTGAAATATAATACCTCAGGGTTTCAGGAACAAGTGACGTGAGGTTCAGGATCATGAATATTTATTTGATATTCTTAAGGGTGGAGTGCTGTTAAAGTGGTCGCACCCTTTCTTAAGTCCTGAATAATGTAATAACAAAAAACCCATAACAACTGCGCAAAACCACTTGGAAATACAAGATTCATCGTTTGTTCTACTTGAAGTATTATAAGTAATCTAATTATTATTAAGACTGCAATCTCTTGTGTATGTTTTTTTAGTCATTTGCTTTACGTAAATGGATGGTTTAAGCCACTGTATGAAATTGTAACTATATTTCATACCGACCCTTCATCAGCAAAGATAGCTTAGCATGCAGTCGTTAGGGCGTCGAGACCGCCACACTTGGCAGCGTTTCAAGTGGCGTACTTTATTCAAGTGTCTACTGTAGTAATAAATAAGTGTACACTATAATTATCATTACAATGTTAAATGTTTAAAGAACCTCTACAAAAATGTTCGAACATAGTTAAACTAATTTTCATTTATATCAACAAATAGTACATATTTTTAGCATTTTAATGTTCATTTTTGCACGGGAACAGTTGGTCTGCAGTTGATCTAAGCAATGTACTAGTCGTAACTGAGATATATTTAGATTTTTTACAAGAGTCACCTGCGTCACCATACTGATGAAGATAGAGATCTGGCCTAGTGCCAGGTCTGACTGCGAAAGTTGTAGAAACAATAATTAAAGAACCTTGTAGCTTTAATCACATAACTATATAAATTTGCTGTTTGTACCTATGTCCTTCAAATGACTTGTTTATTTAAATTATAGGCTTTTATTGGATATTACGGGTTTGTCCTTAACTTCTCGTATCTCATGTAAACAATGCTATCGCAACAAAACCCAAACGAAGACTCATTCTTAATCTAATCTTCGACGTTTTCCGTTCCAGGCACTCGGTGGACTCGGTCGCGTCGTATTCTAGTCAGAATCACGTTGACCGTATAAGGACTCAAAACTTCTCAGCGGCTTCTTGTCAAGACGAATGTGACTTCGGGTCCATTAGGACGAGCCTTTTCAGAAGATCTTCTTCTAATACAGAAATTCCGTTAAAACGACCTGAAAGCGTCACATCCAATACAAGTTCTACAAGAAGCCGTCTTAGAGATTTTGTTGAAAGGAAATCGAGTCAAGACGAACATAGACCCGCGGCAAACACAGTTGCTGACATACAATACTTTGAAAATCCCACAGAGACATTAGAATTTGATAATCCACGAAATTCACTAGAATCCAAAAAGAGCCAAGACGAAAATACTAAAAAGCGGAAATTGTCTAATAAAGATAAAGAGTGTGACAATAAAATCAAAAAGGAGGACAAGTATCAGAGTAAACTAGCTGAATATTACAAGCTTCCGTTACAGCTACCTCAAGACGAATTCTATCAGCATCTCACACGATCTAAGGCTGCTGAGGAATTTTTACAGAAACGCTTTTCAAATTCGGACACTGAGTTCAGTGCTAGTTACGGAAGATTGTGCAAACATAAAGACGTCGAAGGTTCAAATTTACGTCGCAGCCGGAGTCTAGCTGTAATACGAGAGGAAACATTCACAGATCTTCAGATACAAAATCATCCCAAAACTAAGCGGTCTCAACTTATACCGCGTGCCCGTTTATTTGACAAGCCTTGTTTTAGAGACAGGTAAAGTATTTATCATTATTTTTTTAATCTTCAAGAATTTAATATAAGACCGACATTATTGTACTTTTATTAAAATTTCTAATTCATATCCAAGTTGGAATACAAAAATATCATACTTATTATTTAGTATGCCATAAAAATGTTTAGTTTTACATTTAGATATTTCCTATCAATTGCAGATTAATTGGTCGTGCAAAATACCAAACCAAGGAGGAAGTTTTGGAAGGAATCTATATCGACAGTACTGTATCTTGTTTTGGAGATATAAATAGACAACGAGTAGACGAAGAACCCTCAAATCCTCCTGATAACACAGAAAATAGGTCTGGAAAAGAGGACGTTGTATCAAGAAACGAAAGCCATCATTCCCAGTCTATTAGCGGAAGTTGGCCTAATTTACATAGTGAAACTAAGCAAACTAACGGCTCCGAAGAAAGTATTGGACATTCACGTAATCCAAGTGAAATTGACAGCTTAGATTCAAACTACGTCAGAAAACATTATAACTTTGAAGCCCATTTAAAAAACTATAAAGGGAGTTCTCCAGAAACCGACAGATCTATAGCATCGCCTAATAATAGTAAAGATCTATACATTAGCACTGACGACCCAGACAGTGATAACGAAGAAGAAAAGACAAAAATTCAATGTTCTTCGGTTAAAGAACATAACACATTACCGCCAACGGTTGTAAATGAAGAAATTGTATTAAAATCTGAAGAGATCTATGAAGCAAAATCATCCGATAAAGTATCTTTACAAAGTAAGCAGAGTTGTAATATAGAGAAAGAGAATAAATCAACAGAAGATAACAAACAAGAGAAAGTAGATACTGACAGTCAGTCGACAATTTCTGAAAACGAAGAAAATATTTCTAGTCCAGCTGATAGTATTACATCCTATATATCAATATCTATAGCATCTTCAACGGATAAATCACACAAGTTAGAATACTTAGCAAATTCTCTTGCTGAGAAAATTGACGAATACTGTGATTTACAAAACGTATCTGTGAATTCACATACAATCCCTTCTGAAACTCAAACGCTCGACACAGATCCCATCTATACCAAAGTTCAAAAACAAACAACATTTGCTGATCTAAAAAGACATTCTTTTAACAAGAAACCTCGTGAATCCAAAAAAGTAAAAATAAAAACACCCACAAATGAATGTTATGTAACAAATACATTTATTAAATGCAAAGACTACAGTGACGATAGCTATTGCACATCGACAAAAAACATAACCACTGAACCTTTTGTAACAACTTTTATAGAAAATCAATACTACTCTTTACCGGATATAAATATAAGCAAATGTTTGAGAAAATCAGAGAGAATAGACGCTCAATTAAGAGAAGAAGATCCAGAAGACATACCTTGTGAAAACGCATACGAAGTTGCTCATACACACGTCAGAGAATATTCACATCATTCAAATGGTGAAAACTACGGTCAACTTAATAAAATAAACCCAAAAATTTCATACAAAAGTCAAGTTGACATTGAAGATAATTCTTCCTATTATAGAGAAGATTCAGAACCTCAACTACTTCAAAACTTTACAAAACTAGAAGACGACTTGAAATCCATAATAACTATTGACAGTTCTTATGCAGACGACTCTAGTTATTATCAATTAGATCATCATCAAAACGAACGGGAAATAAATGAAATTGAAGGCACAATACGAAATAATAAAATAATAACAAAATCAGACAGCTTGAAGTTAATCTCCAATATATCTAACAAACCGGAAATAAAAATATTAAAATCATTATCCAACGACAATATAAATACATCTCTTAAAAGAAAACGAAGCAAAACTGGGATTCATAAACACTATTCACTTCGGCAACGTAATCCAACTGATAATGAATCTATACGTATACCAAGCCCACAGCAAGTAGAAAAAAGTTTCAGTAAACCAGTTCAACGTAAAATTTCAAATCTATCATTTACTGACCAAATCAAAAATCATTCACTACTTTCGCGAGTTCAGTCTTTTAAAACATCAGCAGAATCGAATGTATCCATTATTCCATTAAGTGGTCATCAAACTATTGTCATTGATCCCCCTACGCAATCTATACCAGAACAACAAAATAAATACTTGGTTAAAGAAAAACAGTCTGAAAGCTCTGATAATACAAATTCAAAAACAAGTAACGAAAATCAAACGACCATCAAAGTTACAGCCAACACGGAAGAGAGTAGTTGCGAAAACAAAATATTTACAAATAATATAACAGGAGATCCTTTTATAACAATCAAACTAAATAAAATTGTTAAAAAGAATATTCCAAAACTAAACAGCTCATTGTACGAAACTGCAGTTGAAAACCCATACCAAAGACCGCCGTCTAAGTTGGTTATAAACGACAGTAACAATAATCTTACAGACTCCAATTTATCAATCACTATGACCCGCCCACAAGTTCTTCAAGTGATTGATTCAAAAAATAAAAAATCGAATGAAGTTGTTGCAGATAAAAATAAAAAGGCTATTAGCGGAGTTAAAATGAATAACTTAGAGAGTAAAAATGACTTTAAAGAATCCAAATTTGAAAATAATAATGTAAAAGAAAAACTTAATAATGCAATAAAAACGGATATAGAGTATCAAGAAAAAATAAACTCGGTAAAAAACTACTGGTCTAAACTTATTGAAAAGTCTCCTGAATATCAAAATAAAGAAGATGATAAGGACAAGACAGAAGGAACAGAAGAAAATATAAACGAAGAAAACGCAAATAGAGATGAAAATGATAACAGCAATGATAAATGTGTTCCAGAAGTTTCAGTAGGGAGCATTATAAAGACATTAGAAAGTGCGAAAATTGTAGATAGTGTAAAGAAAATAAATCAAACAAAACTACAATTGTGGAAGGAAGAAACAGAAAAAGTTAAGAGTGATTCTGAAATTGAAGAACCACCGGTGGAAAAGATAGTTAAAGACACAACGAGAACTATTTACGAACAACCGAAAATTGAAAAACCATCTAAAAAATCCGAAAAAGAGATGTGTAGAGATACTCCAGACATCGAAATTGTTGAGTTAAGTAGTGACAATCAAAACCAAAAAACTCAGGCAACCTTAATCAAAGCCAAAGGATATGAGAAGGGTTGTGACGAATTTGATCATGTTAGGTATAAGGTGATGAAATCTGAATTGTTTAAAAATAGTATGATAGCGAATTATCGAAAAGAAGCGCAATTCGATGGTCTTTTACAATATCTCCAGGATTACAGTTTTCAAGAGCTACTGGTTAACAACAATATAGTAATAATAGAACCTGTTAGAACTAAAGTTGAACCAGCTCCTAGAAAAAATACAACAGACACATGTAAAATACCACCTACATTACTTAAGAAAACTGATTGTACATCACAAGTGGACAAATCAAAGAATGCCATTCGCAGACACTTTTTCTATCATCCAATTAGAGTTAATAAAGAAATCATAGAAGAGGAACTTCCAAATCCAGATACAGTGAAGAAGGTGCGTAACTTGTTTGAGGATACCCTTAAGATGAAGAGTCCAATGACACATGATCCCCCCTTAATTGACGAAAATTCAGGACTAACGAGAAGGGCAACGTCATATAGAAATTTAAGCGAAGAAGTAAAAGTAAATAAGATTGATGGAAGAAAAAAAATAACACGCCAATTAACAATCGACACAAATGTTGGTAACAAAAAATGGGACAACGCTAGTCTTTCAAGTGGAGTATCCAGCGGAGATCTTAGTTCTAATAATGATTACGAAACAGACGGACTCAGTCCGTATTCGCATAAAACTATTAAAGATAATGTTTATAGCTCCAGCGACGAATATCTATGCGATTCAGCAAGCCAAGATTTTTGTTGTGAAAGTCAATACGTCAGTCCAGATATCCTAAAGAAAATAAGAGATTGCGGGACCTCAGTAACCTATTACGGAGGGAAAGTGCTTAATTCTAAGCCAGGATCCACTGTTAGTCCTATGACTAAAGCGATAATGGATGAAATTAAAAGTCTTCAAAAAAACTGCAGTAGAGACTGTTATTCCTGTCAAACAAAATGTAAAGGCGATAAGTGTTCTTGTTTAGCGGCAGATAAGCATCGTCAACTTTCAGCTAAACAAAATGCTGAAAAAGAAACTCCACGACAAGGTAAATTGAAACAGATGGAATTTCCAGGATTTAAATTCAAACTTGTTAAGTCAAATAGTTGCAGTAGCCGCTTAGAACTAACAGGTACCGATGAAGGAAGAAACCCGAGACTAAAATACAGAAAACAGAATTCAAAAGAAGACCCACCGTTAGTACACGATGAAGAGAATTCTGTAAAAAATAAAATATGTCGCTTAGAAAGTTATAGCAAGGGCATTGCTAAAACACCATTTCAAAACAACGACAATGACACAATACCTAGAACAACAAACGCTAAAGAAATGAAAGATGACGCTATTGCAAAACCAATAGAAGAATCAAACTCTATCCAGGCTACAAACATACCGAAAGATAGTATCCAAGATACAAGAGAGGATATGAAGTATACAATTCAAAGTGACAAGCAACAAAATAACGACCCACACAGCTTTGAAAAGAAGTTTTACTACGTTAACGACAATGTAGAACAAAGAAACGTCCCAGTGGGAAAATTCGGAGAGATGATTTTTGAAGAATTCGAGGTTTTAGAAAACTGTTATGATAGTTTAAATAGTAATAAGTCTCCTTAACAATAATTGTATTTAAAAACTTTCGCTTGAATAAGTCGTGATCTGTGCCTAAATTATGAGTATATTATTTCTTGTAAATTAAGATGAAGTATATAAATAAATATCTAATACATATAGGATAGGATATACATTGAGTTGGAGTTAAATTATTATCATCATAAACAATAATATATCTGTTAAAACCTACTAATAGTGCCGGTGATGGTCTCTTAAAATTTGTAATAAAATATATTGTAATATTATTAAGTTTTTCATTCCGAGTATACCTTACCGTCAGATTTCTCTGGTTCGATTTTTGTAGGAGCAGTTTTTGAACCGTGTGAGCTTACGCTTGTGTACAACGAGCGACGCATTGGTCTCCATCGGCGACACCACGATTCCTGCCAATAGAATACATACATTTTTATATTACTGTATAATTTCAGTTATGAAATATGGTTTAGTTTTAAATTAATACATTTATGTGGGATCTCAGAATATTTTTATACCGAAAATACTAAAGTTTAAAAGAGAAATTGAATTCCGATAAAATACAATAGGTAATATGGGCTAAAACAGTATAAACTTTTGACAGGTATATTTTTATATAACCGTGTGTAACGACTGTGACTATTGAATTTTTTATATTTATTAAGGTTATAAAAAATGATTGAATATATAAACATGTCCGCATTTATTTTGAGTGAATAAACAAAATTTTTACGATTACTACAAAACGTATTGAAATCGGACTATTTTGCGTAAAGTTATCCTTGGTCATAAACAAATAAATAATAATACATATATAGAAGGGACTTTTTGAAAAATCTTTGTCAGTTATAAATAATCATAATCTTCTTACTTCAAAGTTCAATTGACGAGACGATTAAATGAAAGTAGATGCCAGTTTGGAAAATGTATCTACTGTTCGTGAAAAATTTGCTAACTAGAGTCAAACTTATTTCAGGACGTTCAATAAAGTTATATAATGTTTTAATTAGGATTGTTTTTAATCCTGAATAACCTTTTTATTAGTGAGATAATCAGAACAGTTTTTACTTCTTGCGCAAGTTTCCTTAACTCGACAACGAGACGGCAAATCACAAGCACTTTTCGTCAATTCGGTTCATTGGCATTAATTAGACGAGCCTCGACAACGTATTATTGATTTTTTAATTTCTACACTTCGTGATGAAAAACGTTACAGAATACAATTTTCGTACAGTATCTAACAAGAACCGTGACGTAGCATGTTCGACAAATTAACTTTTATTTACTTTGTGTTTGCAGACTGGCAAGTTTTGATACTGTTTGAGTAAAACTCTATTAGAGAGGAAGCCTATTGTTTTGGGCATCTTTTGTTACTGCCAAGGACGATAAAAAAACTATTAGTACATTTTCTAAAGAAATACTTTCTACATCATTATACTATTAATTAATATCATAACATCTCAAATGAGTTTCAATTAATATATTTTTATTTGGAACATAAATAATAAATAAAATATTTCTTATTATATAACAAGTACTTCCCACTAATTCAATTTTTAGTGTGTAATTTCCTACATTGAAAATATCCTGTATTTCATGTAACAATAGTATACGACAAGAATGTTTAATTTAGCATATATATGCAAATATACTAATGATGGTTAATAGAGTACTAGAAATAAATCTACTTATTTGTTAGTCAAGTAGTTCCCGTTGTTATAATTGTCTGCTGGTTTTCAACTCATGTACAACTATTCATAAAACATATGCAAGAAATATACAATATTTTTTTTTTACAATTTAGGTAGATAATTTATTGTACTTTAATAAAACTAATATATTTAGATTTACTATTCCTTTTTATTATCTTAAACTACATTTACAACTACAGACCCATCGGCCCATGATCATAGTTACCACAAAGTAACCAAAACATCCGAAGTATGTATATTAAAATAATAATAAGTTAACTTTCTAGTTATAACTAGATGATGTTCCTATTGGACTTGGACAGAACAGATAATTTATACTTTAACTAAAGCGGAATATAAATAAAAAAAGAATTAAATTAATGTTATTAATTAATATTACATACAAATAAACTTAGATTAATAAAAAATGCACTGTCTAGACCAAACAAAGCGTGACATATTACTTTTCACTTGCACATGAGCCAAGTAATGTCGAACATGATTAAGACTTCTCACAAGCTGATTATTCAAGAAAAACCTATGAATCATAGAAGCAATTAGAAGAATGTATACAGCTGATAAGAGAAATAGATAATAGTTATGATATTTGACTAATAAAATATGCTATGTAGAGTTAGTCTGAAGGAACATAATCTTTAATTATAATATATTTGACATAAATAACAATAAAACTTCACATAAATTTTTATAATTTAGTTCAGTACAGTTAAGACAATTGTTTAACTTAAAACTCATTTACACAAAGATTACTTTGTCATAAAATATATATTCTTGAAGTTCTTTATATAAAAAATAATTTATCTAAACATAAATAATTTATCTAAACATGAAAATAATAAAGAATTTTAATAACAAACAGTTTCTTTGAAGATCATATAAATACTTAGTTGTTTTCCTAATAGTAATCAGTTAAATCGTTTAAAAATTATACGTCAACTCTCTTAAATATCGTCACAAACAACGATTGTATCTTGTATCATGTAAATACTCCACCAATAATGTCCTTTAATTATAAGGAATAAGGAAAATTCGTAATAAAAAATAAGAAAAATATTTAAATTCTCTGTCAACATTCAAACTTTGTAAAAAGTTTTTTAATGAGGAAAGAAAGTTAAACTTATTGCATAAAAAAGAGTTAATAGGAATGACATTTGACAGCTACTTAAAAATAAATATCTATCTATGCATACCGAAATATTTATGTACACGTGATTAAGAAAAGCCCGAAACTAATAATCATATATGAAACACACTGATATAAATTATAATATATAAAGTATAAGCAAGAATACTTACCCTATTATTTGACAAATCACTAAATATTGGCAAAAGACACAAACCACGATTTATTTCTAAATTTGCTAGGAGTCGGCATCTAGACACACACACCGTTGACGCCATCTTTACACTACTAAGTATTAGTACGCCCGCCCAATTCAGATTTTGAACTGAATGTGGTTGGTACATTGGTATTATGTCTACATGAGTAAGATTGTTATTTTATTATCTTCGTAAATTTTCCTTAATATTGAAGTTATATGAATATTTTGAAGCTGAGATTAAAACATTAGATGAAATAAACATTAAAAATGTGAATAGATTATTGTTAATGTAAAATATAAAAGCGAAGCATTTCGAGTCATTTATTTTATTATTAGATTACATTTTTCGTATTAATTACTATATGTTACTTACTATTTCTGTTTCTTTTACTGTTTAATAATATAAACCTTTTTCCAATGTTACCGGATCAATTTTGATTCAATATTCCCGCATTTTTTTCAATGTTGTCTAAACTGAATTTTCTTATTAGTATGAATGCGTTCAGTGAAGGAAACCTTGCCACGATGTGCAAATCGCAATTAAAATTAATATGTTTTTTTTTTCAATAACAAATAAAGTTTTTAGCAATAGATTTAAAATTGCAATTAATGTAAAATGAACGCATAACTTAAAGATGACACAGGAATTATGATCTATGAAATGTCAAAAATTATATTATGACATGACGACTTGACAAATCGCCGTTGTGATTGTTTCGAATCGAAGCTAATTGGAATATAGGTATTTAAAAATGGCTATTCCTGAATATAAACTAAGTTCTGTTTTGTGTGGCCATTCCATGGACGTTAGATGTGTAGCCACAACAAAAGAATCTTGTATACTGTCTGCTTCCCGAGATAGGACTGCTAGATTATGGCACCCGGAAGGGTTGGTATTAAAATACTTTAATGCCTCTTTTTTCCACTTTACTTTGTATTATCGATACTTATCCTACGTTTTTTTTTAAGGACTAAAGATTTCGTAAACGTAGTGACCTATAAAGGTCACAATAACTTCGTTTCCTGTGTTTGCTGGCTTCCACCTTGCGAAGCATTTCCTGAAGGACTGGTTGTTACTGGAAGCAATGATAATACTATACTAGGATATAACCTGCAGGATGGTGCAATTCAGATACATTTGAAAGGTCATAATAATGCAGTGTGTAGTGTTGCTCCTGGAAATGATTCAGGAATACTTTTGAGGTTGGTATTTGAGATTGCTTTTAAATTCAACATTTATTATTAGTCTTTTCAGATTTAATGGGTCGAGCAGGCACAGTGAACATTGTGGTACTTAATTTTTTTCAAGTAACGCAAACATTATTGTTGAGATAAAACACAAAAAAATTTTGATTCTTCACTTGAGTCAAATCAATTTTTCCCAACCCTATGTTTATTTAAAACCCAGAAATTGATTTTCCTGTATACTGTGCTTTCATATATGAAAATTTTAGTATTTTCTTATAAGAAATTACAAATAATAGAACTAATTACATGTACTGTAATTTTTTGGTGGGTCTAAAACTTTAGCAACAAAACCAATCTACTATCTGTTCATGGGTATTAAATTGTAAATGTGCTTTTGTTTCCTAAAAAAAAAAATTTTCCATATAGGATTTTGATCCATCCTAAATCCATAAAATAAACTAAAGGTTGTTATATTTTTATTTTTAATTTGTCTATATTATGTGACAAGTTCACGGACTTAGTCACCATGTAGTGAGTGTATAATAATGTATGGAATTTGAAATATCTTATAATTAACTAGCTTTCTGTCCGTAGCTTCGCCCGAATGGAGTTCAGTTATATTGTGTTTCCAAGAGAACCTCTCAAAAGTCTGGGATAAAAACTATCCTATGCTCTTTCTCAAGGACAACTCATTCTCTGTACCAAATTTCATTAAAATCAGATCAGTGGTTTAGGCGTGAAAGCGTAACAGACAGACAGCCAGAGTTACTTTCACATTTATAATATTAGTAGGGATGTATTAAATCTTTTCTAGTGTTTTAAATATCCTTTTGAATTTTCTATCAATATTTTTTCAGTGCAAGTTGGGACAACACAGCCAGAATATGGAATATCAACTCCCCACAAATGTCCCCTGTCATACTCAAAGGTCACCAGGCCGCTGTGTGGTGTGTTATAGAATTGAGTAATGGAGTGTATGCAACTGCTTCGGCCGATAAAACCATCAAACTATGGAGAAAAGATGGAGCTTTGATCAATACTCTTTCTGGTAAGGAATTGTTAGATTCAAGTAAAACTAAAATTTTTGGATTACTGATCAAATAAAAGTAATATTTTCGGATTATTACTAATTATTGTAATACATATGACTGACATTTTTGTTACTTTGTAAAAACCTCATGGATGTTACAAAACATGACCATTCATGGGGAGATAAGATGTGAAAGTCTGTCAGTCTGTATTGTTATTTATCATCATAATAAAATAATGCATAGTAATCCCAAAATATTAGTATTAAACCATTTTATAAGGAATTCCTAATTGTATATTGGTTGTTGCTAAAAATGTTTTTCATTTTATTGATCTAGGTCATACAGATTGTGTGAGAGGTTTGACGGTAGCGAGTTCTGAAAGTTTCCTAAGTTGTTCCAATGACGCATCCATCAAGCTGTGGTCGAATAAAGGAGATTGCATCAACACATATTATGGACATTCTAATTATGTTTATAGGTGAGTTTAAACTATGATGTTATTATTATTATTTAAATTTAATCTTCAAGCAAAGATGCCTTAAAATTTAGAGATACTTAGTAATAAAACATACAACATATAAAGAATTACAGACTTGAAAGAAAATTGTAAGTACAAATAATAATAATTAGAACCACAATAGTTGTAATATGTTGAGAAAATTTCGAAAATAAATGTAAATTTTTATATAATACAGTATAGGAATCCTTCCCAAAAAGTTCAGACTGAATTGCCATTATATTAATAGTATATTATGTAACAAGCAATTGCTCTCAGCTTTGCCTGTATATTAAATTCCCTTTTGAGATACATGCTATCATTTCTATTAAGTTTCATACAATTTTTGAAGCATTTACAATTATTACACTAGAAGAAAAGTACTCTTATTATAACATAATATTTATACATCATTAAGTATTTGTTTTTTATATATAAAATTTTTATGCTTTACAGTATAAGTAGCAACCCTGAAAGTGGTATGTTTGCTAGTTGTGGTGAAGATGGTGCATTACGTCTTTGGAGCGGTGTTGAAAGTATTGCACTAAGGCTGCCTGCACACTCTGTCTGGAGTATAGCCTGCCTTAATAATGGAGATGTTGTCACTGGTACATTAATAATAAAATCTATATATAAGGCTGTCTATGTTCCTTATTGATCTTGTTTTGTTATTTGTAAGGGAATTAATATTTATTGAAAAACGTCTCATGATATAGAAACTTATTGTTACAGAAAAATAATTTCAGTAGCATTAATGTCTTAAATTCTCAAAGCCATAAATATAAATCATTTGTTTAGCATATATTTAATAAGCTGAGAGTTGATTTCTTAAACAAATGTATAGAGATGGGAATTAATTATACTACCTTTGTTATATTAAGATAACTATTTTATTTAAAAACACTTAAAATTTACAGGTTCTAGTGATGGCATAGTCAGAGTATTCACAAAGGATCCAGCAAGATTCGCTGATGAGACAACTCTGAAAAACTATGAGGAAGATTGTAAGAAAATGATTGAAGCATCACAACAAGAAATAGGAGGTTTTAAACTTTCAGAGTAAGTTAATATTTTGTATCAATATAAAATTATACATATCTTTTTTATTGTTTCTTAGAAAAGATATAAAACAAGATCACATAATACTGCCCAAAAAATAAACATGATTACAAAATTCAATCAAATATGTATGAATTTTGTTAGATGTTCGTTTAAATTTTTTGACATTTTTTGACATATTTGACATTTGACATATTTTGAATTATTTGACATATACTGCAGAATATCGCGATAATTTTGACCGGGCAAAACAAGAAGTAGATTTCGATAAAAACCCTTTTGAGTATTCGAAAACCATTTTTAAGAAAGAACGCGGACAGCTTCTCTTGACCAACGATCAAATTTACGACTATTTTAAGAGCACATACGAAGTGCCTAAAAGTTTAAGACGGTTTAGGGATCCAAACGATCAAAAACCTGAATTTCCTCGAATCGAATTCCACGGCATTCCACCAACGCTAGAGGAACTAAGTAGTCAGATCAAGAGGAAGTCGTCTAAATCTGCACCGGGACCCGATGGTATCCCATATATAGTCTTTAAAAAATGTGCATCGGTTCGTAAACACCTCCTAAATATATACGGTAAAATCTGGTCAAGAAAGCAAATCCCGGAGTGCTTCGGGAAAGCAATTTTTGTCCTCATTCCCAAAAAAGATCGAGTTACTGATCCGAAAGATACTAGACCGATAGCTTTAACAAATACTATATCGAAAATCTTTTTCTCGGTTCTACAAACGAGAATGACGCGATTCATGCTCAGCAACAACTATTTTAGGCCAAATCACCAGAAAGGGTTTTTACCCGGGATTTCTGGATGCTTAGAAACACAACACCTTGCTGTCGGAGAGTTTAAAAGATGCTAGAAAAAGCGAGCGGCAAATCACTGTTTGTTGGATAGACTTGGAGAACGCGTTCGGGTCGATACAACACGAATTGATGCTATTCGCGCTTAGATGGTACAACTTTCCACCCCTAGTTAGAGATATGATCGCGTCGTATTACTCAAAATTAAGGTTTTCTATAATAACTAAAGAAGGCCCTTCAAAAAGTTTGAGTTATAATGTAGGACTGTTTCAAGGTTGTTGTCTATCTCCAATTGCGTTTAATATCGTAAATAACATCTTAGTGGACAAATTAATCTGTAACGAGAAAAAATGGGGTTATCGGTTTAAGTTTAATAATAAATACACGGAATCCATTTTAGCCTTCGCTGACGATCTCGCAATACTGACACGTAACCCCAAACACTGTCAGGTACTATTGGATGAAGTGGATAAATTCTGTGAGTGGACGGATGGATTGAGGACAAAACCCAGTAAATGTCACTGTCTGTGTCTTGGTAGGCGGAATACAAGATACACCTCATACGATCCGGGACTATCGTTAGGCGGTCAATGCATTTCTACGGTTACGGAAAATGCACCATTTAAATTTCTCGGTCGTAAGATAGATAATATAGGCCGTACTCCATCTTTAGAAGGAATAGTAGATAGCTTTTTGAACGATCTTAACAAGGTAGATAGCCAACTGATAAGTAACGTCAAAAAAGCGTGGATCTACGAGAATTACTTAACTTCACGTTTGAATTGGCCTTTCCTCGTCTATGATTTTAATAAAACCCTTTTGTCAAAGTTAGATGCAGGCGTCATAAAGATGTTGAAGTTGTGGCTCGGGCTCGCTCTAACGGCTGATTCATCGGCGTTATTTAGGGGAAGCAATAGTTTTGGGATCACCAACCCGTCTTGAGCAAGCGTGGTGATTAATGCTCAAACCTTCTCCATGTGAGAAAGAGGCCTTGCTCAGCAGTGGGCTTTGATAGGCTGATGATGATGATGATGATAGTTTTGGGATGAGTCTAAAAAGGCCATCGGAGCTCTATAAACACCTAAGAGTTTCCAAGAGATATATCCTGGGGAAATCCCATGATGACATAGTGACATCGCTCCCAAAAGATGAAGATGCCCCCGAGCTAGAGTCACGACTTCAATTCCATAAGCAATTTATGATAGGAGCGCAAAGTAACAGAGCGGGGTTAGGATCAAATAGGAAAGTCCAAGATGCGGATATATTGAAGTCTTTTATTCGGCAAGACGAGAATGATAAATATAAGATCCATGCAATGAATTTAGAAATGCAGAACGAGTGGTTAGACATAGGAGATTTTTGCATCCCATTAGCATTAAAATGGCGCACTTTAATTTATGATTGGTCGCCAGCATTGCTAAAATTCTATCTCAATGCGTTCCAGATGACTCTCCCAGATCAGAGTAATTTAGTAAGATGGGGTAAAAGTACCGAAAAAACTTGCTATATCTGTGGAAAGGCAGTTGGAACTGCTAAGCATCTGCTGGTGGGATGTAAGGTACTCCTTGACAGCGGTCAATACTCGCGTCGTCACGATAGGGTTCTAGAAGTCATACGTGAAGCGGTTAGTCTTTCGGTAGCCAGAGCGCAAAAGGGAATAACCACAAACGAACGATCAGTAGGTTTTGTGAGAGAAGGCTCTAGGGCTACAAAATCAAACGTCAAGCCTTACTCCATCCTTAAAGCGGCGTCGGATTGGACTATAATGATGGACACGTATGAAAAACAATATAAAATCCCCGAGGATATTTGTGCGTCGGCCTCCAGACCGGATATATTTTTGTTTTCGCGAATTTTAAAGCGCGTAGTGATGATAGAGCTTACGGTCCCTTGGGAAACCAACATCCCCAAAGACCATACCATCAAGGTCAACAAATATTACGAGCTCACAAACGAACTCACTCGAAATAGGTTCGTAGTAGATTTGTACGCGGTAGAGGTGGGAGCGAGAGGTATAACAGCGAAATCTCTCTATAACCTACTAAAGGACTTGGGCTTGTCCAGAACTCACATTAATGCATTCTTGGAACGTACATCGAAGGCAGCCCTAGTAGGTTCTTTTCAAATTTGGTTAGGTAGGGAGAGGAGCTTGGACAGTGGAGGTGAGCGTATAACGCGCGTTAGTTAAGGGGCCCCTTAAACCTACACTTGGGTCGCAAGTCCCAGGCACTGTTGAAGCTCCTCCCCCTGCAACGCGATGGACCCGGCACCCGCACGGTGAATCCATGGAATGCTGAGAAGTTTCGTCTTACAAATCACATAAAATTATGACAATTATGTAAGACCGCTCTAGGCCCCCTAGATTACTGCTAAAGGGGGCCTCGATATTTTTAATTGAAAATTAATGTTGTATATTTGATTTAGATTAGAAATCCTTATTAATTATTGATGAATATTATATATTAGACTGCCCGGACCGGAAGTATTACTGGAGCCAGGTCGTACTGATGGTCAGACTAAGTTAGTGAGGCGAGGGGCCTCAGTGAAATGCTACGCGTGGCGCGCCGCGGGGGGCACGTGGGAGGAGCTTGGTGACGTCATGGGAGCCACGCCCCCCACACAGGGGAAAACAATGTACCAGGGACAGGTAGGTTTAAGATATTAATATGTTTAAAGAAGCACTATTATGTATTGTTTTTTAACAGTCATATGTACCGGAAATCCTAACTGTAATTTATTATCTAGATTAACCAACCGAATCTATCTATATTTTATTTGTCTAGCAGTTAGTCTATTTACGTTGGTAAAATTTCGCTTACATTTTGTATATTCTTGTTTTAACACTTTGTTTTGGTTAAAATGTTTTCTTAAATATTCTTATTACGTTTCCAAAAAATATATATAACTAGCTGCGCCTCGCGGTGTTACCCGCGGATTTCCTCGATTTCCGGGATGTAAAGTATGTGCCTATGTGTTATTCCTGGACGTCAGCTGCCTGAATACAAAATTTTATAAAAATCGGTTCAGCCGTTTGAGCGTAAACAAATAACAAACATACACACACACTCACAAACTTTCGCAATTATAATATTAGTAGGATAATTGAACCTAAGCAACAATAGGTTAAAGTTCTTACAGGGACAAGTTATTAAGGAGCTAAGTAGAACTATGAATTTTTTTGCCGCTGATATTTGTCAATGTACTTCTCTCTCAGTTTTGTAATATAAATATTAAGCTATGAATAGATGAAACTAATATTTTCTGATTACTACGCTTATTTTATTATTTTTAAAGGCTGCATACTCCCAACTTTCGGTTACTTTACAGCAACCATGATCACGGCCAGACAAGATGTAAATGTCTGTCAGTTGGTTTCGTTATTATAAAAAAAATACAATACGCGTAGTAATCTGAAAATATTAGTTTAATTTAAATGAATACTCGCGATAGTCTTAGATCTCATAACATCAGTAGGTAATATATAGTAATTGTTTATTTATTATTCAGGAATACGACTTCGTGTTCAGCGTTGACATCAAAGACGGCGCCCCAGCCATCAAGTTGCCTTTTAACAAGACGGAGGACCCGTGGGTTGCGGCGCAGGCTTTCATACACAAGTACATATATACCGATACATATAAAATTAAAAATATTCTAAATCTTCTCTTAATAAGAAAGTATATTGTACAGTAGAAACTCGATTAACCGGACTAATTGTTGTCGATACGCATTCGGATAATTGAAAATCCGGATAATCGAATGTATGAAGAAAGCCGGTTTTGTGCATATGTAGAGTACATAATATTATGTATATATTTATTCAAAAAAGTAACAAATACATATCAACGAAAATCAATGTTTATTAATAAATAAATAAATTAAAGGATACATTTTCTTAGATTACAAATATACACACATACACATGTATGTACTAAAAACTGCAGAGTTTAATAATGAAATAAAATAATAAGTTTAATTTGGTTTAGAATATTTGGTAATAGTCATTTAACGTACGCCACTCTCAACAACACCACCCTCTTACGCTTTGACGTTCTTTCTTGTCGGGAATTGTCCGTAGTCCGGATAATCCGAATAACTGAGGGCCGGATAATCGAGTTTCTACTGTATTTTTTTTTTATGTTCACTAAAATAATTGTTAAGTAGGGGAAATTAAAGTGTTTTGAGTTTTGTTAAGTTGGTAGACCTAAAGTTGTAACAAACACGGTCATATTATTAAATGAGTAATAGTTATTATACTTTAAGCATAAATATATCTAAATAACTCATTTTATTTAAATAAATCACCTTCTTTATATCAATATAATGTATAATAGAAAACTTTTTTATTTACAGGCATGATCTTCCACAAGTATATTTAGAACAAGTCGCCAACTTTATAATAACGAATGCTAAGTTAGACTCCGTCCCAGCTTCTAGTAATGGGTGAGTAACCTACATGAATTAAAAAGGTATGTTTTCAATTATACATTCAACGCTCCTGGGGTTAAAAATTGACTTCGGGAATGCAAATTTAATATTTATTTTATTATTCATACTGTAAGCAATGAAGACAACAGTTGATATAGAACCAAATATGTATGAAGACTTGAAATATTTTTTTTATCTTATTACTTTATTAAAAAAACAGATTTTCACTAGTATAAATTTAAAATATATATGTATTTTTCTTATTTAACTCGATTTTAGTACTAATAAATAATAAAATGAACATTAATTAATTTTTTTGTTTTTAAAATGTCTGCCCGTAATAACGTGTAATATCATACCCTTGTAATATCAACGTTGGGTAGTAAAAAGTAATAGGAGCTAGTTTTAACTGAAAAATATGATTTTCTTACTTGTTTTTTTTTCCACGATGATTTAGGCGTTGGTTTCAAAAGTATATGTATGAAGTTATTTTAAACTAAAGTCGTGCTAACCAGCAGCGCCATCTATAGTCTGTGTCACGTGATTTCATACTCAACAACTATAATAATATAATATCGATTATTAGAAATTACGTTTAATTCCGGGATAAATTATAACCAACGCGTTATTCTAATATCTGAGCAACACTGAGAAATTTCATTACAATACGTAATATTTTTAAATGAAACAACCTTCCATATATCCTAACCTTAAATATATTTAATTTTAATCATCAGGTACGCGGATCCGTTTACAGGAGAGTCTCGTTACGTGCCGGGTTCCGGCCCCCTCGCGGGCCCGACCGGGGGGCCCGCCCCTGTGTCTTCGGGTCCCCTCAAAGACCCCTTCACTGGAGAGGGCGCGTATACAACTTCTAGCAACGAGAAACCTCTCATACCACACGATGCATACATCAGGTTTAGTATTTAGAACCATTTTTTCTTCTTCTTCTACCTGGCAATTTCCCAGCTATAGCCAGGATCTTCCTTACATGTTGTGAATAGTTTTGGCTAATTGTTTTTACGAACGGCCGCCTGCCTGTCATCAACCGTCTTTAGTAATTATTTAGTACCATTACTAAATTGAATTATATAATACTACATCACAACGAATGGTCAATACTCAGTGAATCGATTATTTCAAATACAAAAGTATAATAGAAATGTCAGTGTTTGACATTTAATGATTAAAACTCACATTGAGGCATATTCGCGAATTGACGTGTATATTTTGAGTCAGTGATAGTAGTGTGTGTTATGTTTAAGTCGATAAATACTTTTATGAAACACTAGTTTTTGCCCGCGACTTCGTCCGCGTTAGTTTGGTCAAGAGTAATATATTTAGGTATAGCTGACCAGGCGAACTCTATTCCGTCTTAGAGGCCATAAATAATCAGGTTTTTCCTGTTTCAATCAAACAGAATGATTGACATATTAGTTAGTTGTCAAATCTAATGTCAAAAAAACGTTTGTATGGGAAACAGAAAAGGGCTGTTTTTAGGGTTTTCCCGGCAATTATTCCAATTTTTCTCACCTTTTAAACCTTCCCTGGACTTCAAGGAGTATTTCAAGAATAAAATTAGCCAAATCGGTTCAGCCGTTCTCGAGTTTTAGCGAGACTAAGGAACAGCAATCCATTTTTATATATATAGAAGATTATACCATAAAAAAAATTGTGCTTGAGTAATCTTCTCAGTATTAACTTTGGTTTTTGATAAGTTCATCTTCAATCATAGTTTTAGCTTCGCTTACGATGATGATGAGACCTAAAATTAAATATTAATTTAAAAAATAGGAATAATTATGATTTTTTAAAAGAAAACATAATTTATGGCATCTCCAACTGGTTTGAAATTATAATACATATATACAGATAAATTAATTCACCGACCAAAGTTTTATATTCTATAATCTGTAACAAAAATTTGATTTAAGTAGTACCTCAATGTTGCTTGTATATTAAAAACATAATTACAAAAACAATTGTATAGGTCTTTCATGACAAAGGTTCTTCAAAGTTAACACAAATGCCTGTTTTAAATCATTGTTCATCTATAAAGTAAATTATAATTTTTAATTATTTTAATTTATTATTAAAACTACTTATTTATTAACAAAATACTTAATATTTTTATAGGTTTGATGCAGCGAATCTTAAAGCGATACACGACAAACTGAAAGAATTCAATAGTAAAGTGGGAGACGGTTTAAACGCATTCACAGATGAACAGATTGAAAATATTGTGAAATTGGGTGAAATGGTAAGAATAATATAAGCAAAAGTATTACACTGAACAGAAATTTTGATACATTTAATCTATTTTTTTTTCTGATTTTATTTTGGGACTTTTTAGCAGCAAAGCTAAATGTCAGTCCCATCGTTCCCTTAATAAAAATCCCACCACCAACAAACATTTAATCTTATTATAAAACATTTTTCAGGACTCCACTTTTAATCCAGAAACTGTATCCCTGCTCAAGAAAATGCTAGAATGGCCCAAAGGTATTTTAGATCATTATTTAATATTATTATAAAAATATCACTAAATTAATATTAAACAGAAATCAAATATATTAAGATTTTCTATGTATTATACTTATATTTATTTATAATTTCAGAAATTCTGTTCCCTGTACTGGACGTTACTAGATTGGCCGTAAGAAACAAAGATATCAACACCCAAATATTTGACACAACATATGGGCCGAACTTCGTTAAATATCTGTTAACATTGTTAAGTCCTGGTATGTGATAATTTCTCATTTGATTTATAATATAATTTTTAGATTTATATTATAAAAGTCCAGAATATTTCTATTATTCTAAATCATTGTGCTAAATCAAAAATATCAGTATGATTGAAATGATAAATATTATTTTGTGTGGTGGCATATGACATAGTTATAATATATCAATCAAAAATTAAATGACACTGAGTTCACTATAATTTGAAAATTAAGATTACATTGAAATATTGCAAAGGTCTTAACAAAATTTTACATCTTTATTCTCTAGTGTGTTTTATATTTGAGATTGTTGAAGTAGTGTTTATAATATTTTAAATAAAGCTTTTTATTGTAGAACCTTAATAACTATATGAATGAAAATTAAAGTTAAACTTCAAGCTATATCTACCAATTATCCTATAGTTAATCAACTAACTTGTCACTATGTATGTTTCAGATAATCTATCACCCAACCAGTTGCTTTCTATGCGTGTGTTAGTGAATGCGTTCAGTGCTCTCTCCGGTGAGATGCTCGTACTATCAGCTCGTGAAAGACTTCTGGAAACTATGAACACACTCACAAACATCAGTAATAACGCCCAGGTATTGCCAGATAATTATAAAAAACTAGGTTTCCGCCCCCAATTTCGCCCGCGTGGAGTTCGGTTATATCGCGTTTGGGAGCGTTCAAGTATTACGTAACGCAATTTTGGGAGAGGGGGGGTCTCGTAAAACGTTACGATGCGTTACAGGGGCGGGAGGGGGTGTCTCTTACAAAACGTTACGTAGTATTGTTTCTAAAAAAAAATATATTAATAAAAACCCCCAAACTGACAACTCTTTTCATATACGTTACATTATGTTGACCAGATTGTATTAGTCTGGACGATATTTTTATTTGTTATTCCAAGTTTGCAAACCTCTTAATTGATATTTTATTGGGAATACCTAGATTGCATTGTAAGTCTTTTAATGTTGCTTCCGTGGTCAATATTCGTTAGTGTTTATCCGTGAGTTCATACTGTTCATACTGTAATTTCTTCAGAAAAGGGAGATTTGTGTCAATGATCTTTTTTAATTTAAAAGATTAAAACTATACCAAACTATTACATATTGTTTTACGACTTTGGATGAAATTGATCACTTGAGTGTTACGTGACGTTTTGATAAGGGGGGGGGGGGGGGCTACAGAAAAACGTTACTGTGCGTTACGAAGGGGGAAGGGGGGGTCAAAAATCTTCGAAAATTGTGTTACGTAATACTTGAACGCTCCCTTTCCAAGAGAACCTTTCAAAAGTCTGAGATAATAACTATCCTATATTCTTTCTCAAGGTCGACTCTATATCTGTACCAAATTTCATTAAAATCAGTTCAGTGGTTTAGGCGTGAAAGCGTAACAGACAGACAGACACGCAGGCCGAGTTACTTTCGCATTTATAATATTAGTAGGGATAAACTTAGCTTCTAACTACTTGAAATCTAAGATTTTCGCGAGTTTTATTCATTTAAATGAAACTAATATTACTACGCGACTTTTTTTTTGTAAAAAACTCCATACTCCCGACGTTTCGGCTACTTTACAGCAACCGTGATCACGGGCAGACGAGATGTGAATACGAAAAATATTAGTTTCTTCTAACTACTTGCATAACGTGATTTGCTTGTTTTAAAAATGTTCTATTTCATATAGTAACACTTTATTTTGTAAGTATTACTAAATATGATCTTATGTATTTACAGATAGCTGCTATGTCGCTACTTCTGAACTTGTCAGTAGCTTTAGGCCAACAACCAGATAATATAGACCTAGCGGATTGTGTGGTTAATTTACTCAACAAAATTACAGATAATGAGGCTTACTTCAGGTAATTATACTACTTAGATTAATAATTTAGTTATAAATACATATATGTAAATACCAATTTATACAAAATATTTGTTCTAATTCCAGGGGTCTTGTAGCATTAGGCACTTTATTAGCGGAATCTCCAAACAAACTCATTATCCAAACGAAAATTGTAACCAGCAATAATCTACATAACAGATTGAAAAGAGACAGCTCCACAGAAATTCCCAACTTCAAGAAAATATCAATTTGTTCCCAACAAATATTAAGACTGTTATGAGTAAATTGAACCTTAACTCAATACAATAAGGCTGTTCCTTCTATAATTGCTTGATGTTGAGTAATTAGAATGAATTACATATTAGATCTCTTTGTTATGGGGAAATAAAATAATAGTATGTTTTAATTATTTATTTAAAAAAAATAATTTTCATTTTTATACATATATCTTAAAGCATATTTCATTTAGCATGAAATGTGAACAGGCTTGAATAGCGAATACATTATTTAATTGTAAAATATTTTTCATTTGTAATTCAAAACTTATTCTATATGGTACATGATTATATGTATATTATTATATAATAGTCACAGTCCATATTATTTAATATCAAACATAAATATACTTCCGAGATACATATTGGTTCAAGTAAATTAAAGTGTACCCCCAAGAGATAATGAGATTGTAACAATGAGTGTTAAATGTGATTATATATCTTAAAATAATAAACAAGTTAAATATTTAAAATAATATAAAAAAAAAAACAGTGATTGTTCTAAAGCATTAATAAAATTATGGTTGCCTTTTATTTTAAGATACTCCTATCTAGCAACAATTCATAATAAATTTGTGAATTTTTTTTGTTAAAATTTTAAGTCATTATAGATAAATACTATTTTTTCTTCTTCAATTCCTCAAATCTACGGTTCAGATCTTCGAAATCTATTTCATCAGGTGCAGAGCTATCGTTATTTTGATTTGTTGTATTTGAGTTGTTGCTGTGTGGTACAGACGGTAGAATCAAATCTGATGGTACAGACGGCAACTCAGGAAGCTCGGGGAAATAATTGGTTGGTTGTACGCGACGTGGCTGCGGGGTTGGTACGTGAGCCGGCTAAAACAATTAGTAATTATTAAAAGAAATATATATTTAAATAAGTTTATATTGGTTTCCTTATGAGTGAGATTATTAGAGAAACAAAATCATTATTGAATATTTAAAACGTTCCTCAATGATAGTTATGTAGAGTTATTGATATATGAGGAATAATTATCAATACTATACAGCCTAGCTAAGAACAGGCATATTGAAGTGTACATAGCATACTACACTAACAAATGAGCAACAGGCATAATCTAGAGGTATATAAATACAGTCTACAACTATAAATAAAAAAAAACTGTATTTGGTTTCTTAAATAAATATCGTAACAAAATAAAAATCTATTTACCATATCGTGCGCAATGCTGTCATAAGCGGGAGGTAGATTGTGCATTTCCTCCTGCGGGAATAGTTTACAATACATAATTACATTACAAATGTTTCATGTATACTACATAATATATATTGAAAGCGTGCTACATCTAGCTGATTTAGATAAAACTAAAAAAGTACAGCTATTAAACTAGAGTATAAATTAAAATTATCAAAATAACTATGTACAAAAACTATGAAATACCTGTAAGAAACTATTATTTAAGTTTCTTGAATCTACTCCTGGGGGAATATTGTAATTTTGTTTGCTCGGTTCACCATAACTCAGAGTTGCTATGAATCCTCCTACCTTACCTCCCGATGGTACCTATAAATGGGAAACAAAATTCCAGCTAAATAACACTATACAACACTAAATTCAACCAGTTTATATTTGAGTAGTCATATAATCTTTATATATATAATTCTTCTGTGAGTGTGTATGTCACTGAACTTCTCTCAAACGACTGGACCGATGTTGATGAAATTTTTTGTGTGCGCTCAAGGGGATCTGGGAATGGTTTAGATTCACAATTTTGTCCGCTGGACAGGGACAAATTTTTTTAATTAATTTTTAATTTATTAGAAGTTGTTGATACAAACTTTTTTTTTTTACATTAGATTTGACAACTAACTAATATGTCAATCATTCTGTCGCACTTCAAAACAAGATTTATGGCTTATTAAAGAGGTAAACTCCAAAAATATAAATAAAAAAACGTAACAGATATTTCTTGATTATAGGGCGATACGAAGTTCGCTGGGTCTTCTAGTGTATATATAAAATCACTAAATAACCTATCAATTACTAAATATCAGGCAACAAGATAATTAATAATATACCATTTACAAGATGACTGATTTACTGCTTACCGATGGATAGTTAAATGGCGTCACAGTGGGTGGAGGTAAAGATGGCATTTGTGGCATTGGTTGTTGTGATGGATATCCAATGAATCCTGGTGGATTCGGTGGACCATTGATATCAATCAGCATTGCATCCCGACCTATTAATATAAATCAATTTTTATATTACAAAATTCATTTACTATCATCTTTTACCTGGCAATTTCCCAGCTACAGCCAGGGTCTGCCTTACATGTTGTGAATAATGGTTTTTGGCTATTAGTTTTTACGACCAGCCGCCTGCCTGACATCAACCCAATTTTGGGAATCAACATTAATCAGTGATGTCTAAATAGTCTTAGAAAGTACATATGATTCGGAAAAATCACATTGGTACTTGCCCGGGCCAGGATCGAACCCGCACTCTCGGCTACGAGAGGCGGGCCCTTTAACCACTGAGCCACCACTGACACACTTTACAAAATTCATTTACTATTATATGAAGAATAATTTGTATAATATGTGATAATCCCTACTAATATTATAAATGCAAAAGTAACTCTGTCTGCCTGTCTGTTATGCTTTCACACCTAAACCACAACTGATTTTAATGAAATTTGGTACAGAGATAGAGTTAACTTTGAGAAAGAACATAGAATAGTTTTTATCCCAGACTTTTGGAAGGTTCTCTTGGAAACACGATATAACTGAATTCCACGCGGGCGAAGCTGCGGTCAGAAAGATAGTTATAAATAAATATAATAAAACCTTCTTCCTCTCTCATGACTTGTTCATCCGGTGTATACTCAACATTATAGTTCTTTGCTATCTCAATTAAATACTTTTCTACCAATATTTTTGGTGGACTTTGCACAGACATCTTGTGCTTCAACTTTTCACTGATGGTATTCACATTTTCACCCCTACAAGCATCTGCATAAATTTTACCATATTTTGCTGTCAACAAATCTGATATAATCTTTAGTTCCTAAAAACAAAAATATATAAATAATATTTGGTAAATAGTCATGACAAAAGATGTTTAACATGGAAAAATGTTTAATATGGAGAAAGAATGAAAAGTTTATAATTAATTATTTTTTTTTAATTAACAGTACCTGGACATCAGTGTGCATTCTTGGTGCAACCCATATGAGAGTGGATATAGCTTCACTTAAACCATCATCAAGTTCTTTCATCTGAGTGACCAGACCAAATCTTGCCAGAATCAGGTCACAATACATTTCAACTATTTCCATAGCTTCTACCATGTAATCTTCTCTGTAAGATAATTTTGAGTATTGAAATGGTGAAATAATTACATGACAGACATAAGAAATGTAATACGAACATAATAAAGAGTTTAACTTAATAATATTGTGAAATACCTGATTATATGTTCAACACGAATCTTTGCACGTTCACTTTTACCAGCAGCTATATATTCCGCAATTTCCTTACGAGCCTTTTGTGCTAATTCTGTTTTCTTCTTCTCTAATAATTTCAGGCGATTTATAGCCAATCTTAGATGAGTTTTAAGTTTTGTATAATTGGGATTTGTTGAAAACATTTTTTAATTTGGAATCTCCTTCGATATACTTATATGAATCCTATGAGTAAGACTGGAATTTAATTAGATTGTTTGTATAGTGGTATGAATCACTTCTCAGAGTACAGAGTAAAGATTGTATTTATTATTTTACTTACGTTGAGTATCTGTCACCTGTATTGACGAACGTCAGATGTTAATTATGTTAGACCACTAGTTTATTTTCAGGCTACGAGTTCTAGGTTTTTGCTTTAAAGAATGGAAGCAATACTTTTAATTATAACATTTCATGCGGGGTACTGTTAAAAAATAATACCTATGACAAAAAATGACATTTTTTTTATTTACATATATGTGGAATTAATGATAACAAGACTCTTGTATTAATACTATTTAGCTTCAATAAATAATATTGTCTTGCATAAAAGCTGTATTTATATACAATATTATCGTGACGCGAAGGAGAACTTGACTTCCAAGCGTCATCGACTTCATGCTCGTAAGAAAAGAGGCCTGGGCGGCGACTTTTTCTTCTGCGGAGGTGTTAATAGGTATACAGAAGGAGAAGGCGGAGGGAGAGAAGGAGAACGACCCTCTCGCTACATTACTCGCAGACAAAGACGAATGCGTACGATTAGGAACTAAGATTAGGATGGTGTAGGGACCACTGGGTCGGCGTTGCAGTTGGCCTCAGCATTTAAACTGACGGGAGTACGGTAGAACGGCTTCTCGCCAGCAGTGCTAAGATAGTCTGAACTTCTAGAATCCCACAACACTGATATAGGTATCTGATTTGTAGGTTTTAGGTTTATAAGTCTTAGTGACGGCTGGACGTAGTTTCCACCACATAAAAAATATGTATGTACAACTAAGCATTTGAAATATGATGTACGATTAAGTTAATGACAAGAGAATTCAGTGGTTATCCCAGAAAATATACAAACTGATGTGACTAGAAATAATGACTTCCGTAATAGTAATGTTTAATTACGAAATAAAATATGAAAAGTTAAAAAAGGGACATATCAAAGGTTTTTAGTTCAATAAACTACAAATCAAAAATACTAAAGCAAAAGTATATTTTTTTTTAATTGTAAATATGTATATATTAATTCATCTATCCTTTGATTATTAGGGCCTCATTCAAACAAGATACTCATATAGACATTCAAACAATTAAAACTTAACAGCCTGAAGATCAATTTGGTGTGGCCAATATTCAATAAAATTAACTAAATGGTAGTTTAATCTCTTTTTCATAGACTTAGAATTAATTTATTGATTCAATTTCCCTCTTAATATTTTATTCTAGCTGCCAAAAAAGTTTTTCCTTGTCAGATCATAGAAGCAAAAGGCCAATTGAGCTTATCTAATTTTTGTGGCTTGCAAAATAAATGAAAGTTAAACATTTTTATAAAATAACATTTTATTTTCTTATAATTACACATACACATATAACTTAGACTATGGTTGCTAACATTAATTAAGTACTTAAAGAACGTAAAATACTTTTAAGACAGATCTTCGTAATTTTTGTTATAAAGTAAACATTCATCAAAATTTAATATCTAAAGAAACACTTTACATGTTTACATATTTGTTATTTATATTTTTAACATTCAATACAGCGTTACAACTGCTACAGATACAAAATTATATAAACATCAAATAAGTATAAACCTTGTTCACAATAAGATTTTACAAGCGTAATCTGTATTTTTCACATAAATTTGTATTCACTGCACATTTAAATATTAACATAATAGGAAAAAAATATAAAATTTTCAAAAACGAAATGCGATATATTAAAATTAGACAAGTTTTATAAGTAAAACAAACTTCATTAAATGTAACCCAAAAATAGGCAAACAAAATAAAGGTTCAAAAGCTCGTTCACGTCTTATATTGTCGTGTATGAACTAGTTATTGTCACGATAAACATTATAAAAACTTTGTCTCAACAGATTTAATCGATATTCTAAAATACTGAAGTTTTAACGAGATAATAAAGTTACAGATTAAAAAACAATAGAGCTGTCCAAAAAATACCTGTTAATACTGACGAATTACGATTAATACTTAAAAACGAGCCGCAGCTCTTAACAATGTACTAAGCCTAAACATTCAGTCATTAATTATATCAACACTAGGTCTCTTCTCAGGTTTAGCTAGCGTATTGTCAGCATCGTCGTGGATGACCACTGTCGTTGCACTAACGCTAGTACTATGGGAGAGTGTTATATTTGTACGATTGCTGTCTGCTAAATGCTCTAACTCGTGACTTTCCAGATTTGGAACAGCAGAACATATTGAACTTACACGTGAAATAGATTTGCTTTCTTCTACAGGAGTTTCCTTAGCAGAATTCCTCCCGAATAAATACAATAGAGCACATAGAAAAAATGTCGAATAAATCCAACTAACTGACATGATTAATGCAAGGAACGTCCCTATTTGTGAATAGGGGAGAAGATTCGAACGTATTAAAAATATACCAGCAAAACCTGTCGTGAGGGCAGCGGCTGCAGTGGGACCTGATGATGCCGAAAGAGCGAATTTAACTCTAGTGGATTTAGGTCCATTAGAGTTTGTATAACTTAATGCATAATGCAGACTAAAATCTACAGCTAACCCTGCTGATGTCGATATTGCTATACTTTCTAATATATTCAGCTTCCAATCGTTTAACACTAATATGGCTATAGTAACAGTCGACGAAAATATCATGGCCAATAGAGCACAGGAGCTGACTATAAAACTGAACGTAGACGGAACAAGTACCATGAAGCCTAATCCAGCTGACAACAGTAGAGCTACTACAGTACCACTTGCTAAGGTGTTTTGTAAGTCATAGAATTGAAGATCAGAGAGAAACCATCCACCCTTCATTCCCTCAGGAGCATTTTGCAATTCTTGAACTGTCCAGTTCTCGACTTGAAGATAAAAATCATCCATCTCCTTATACGACATCGAATATGGTACGACACTTTCAAATTCTACGACAACAGCGGCAATTGTGGGGGGATTTGAACGTCTCAAGAATTTAGGGCCGGCGACACCAGGCATGAACAATTCGCGAGGTGTTTGGTATAACGACTCCATAGCTTTTATGATGCAAAAGTTGAAAACTTCTTTATCGTAAGGAAATCGGGATGATTCGCAGCATGGCGATCTATTAATTTTGTCGATGTTATCTATGCACCTCCTACTCATATATGCTTTGAAACTTTCAATAAAACAATTTGGCAAAAGAGGTCCCAAAGTTTGCTGATAAAAGGTCTGTCTCTTTATTTTAGTACAGAACTCTAACAACCATTTTTGTGAATTTGGATCAGAAATGTTGAAACTTGTGTCGAAAACGAGTTCTCCTTTTGAGAAGGGATTCATGTGATCTCCATTGTCAATAGCCTGGACACCCCAAATCCATCTCAGAGGCATTTTCGCTCCGACTTCCGTATTATGGCCAAATCTTTCAAATAAAAACTTTTCTTTGTAGTGAATATCATATTGTTCAAAAGGATGTGAAGATTGAAACAATTGAAACTGTTTAGAGTCAGGAAGTTGAAGTCCAGGATAGTAAAAAACGACTACAATACTGCCGATTCCTATAGCACCCAAAATCACTACAAAACATATATGCAACCTCATTATACAAGTTATTATAAATCTATTTAATATAACTTTGATATCCTCACCAATCTCATTAACAGCATCACTAATTGCACCTAACAATGTCCATCTATTAATACATAATTTTACATCTAATATATATACCGATACTGGCAGCCAAGTGACCATAAGAAAAAAGTTGACTAATACTGCCGTCCCAGCAAAAACACTGAAACAGTTAATAGCAGGAATGTAACTGATATATGAAGCATAAAATGCAATAGCAGTTGTCAAGGTTGTGATGAATATTGCAAGAATGGAATGCTTTAAAGTTTCCGATAATATTTGTACAAGAATAGTCTCGCCAGCACTAGATACATTTTTAATATTTTCTAGATCGTCATTGTCACACACAATATTATCTTTAATAAGCTGCTTGCTGATCATATTCCAAACTTTTACATAAAGGAAAGCGTCATCAGCCCCAATACCAATCACAACAACTATTACTAATAAATTCATAAATGGAAAAAATTCCAAGTTAAAGATATATATGTAAAGAAAATATGCAACTCCCAGGGAGTATGTAATTGCAGTAAACAACAAGATTGTAAGAAGTAGAGATTTGGTATAAATCCAAATGCAAACAAATACAAAAAGGCCTCCGAGGCCCATCAGCCAAGTGTCTTCTATTATCCATAAGTCAAATAAAGCATTTTTTAAACCAAAGTCGATTGCGGGTACCACAAGAGTTTCAAAGGACCAATCAAAGTTTTGTAATTTCATATAGTAAGATATGGTTGTACCACTGCTGGGTAATGGAAGAAAAATCATAACATTCTCGACAAATGTTTCCGAGAATGTTGGAGGAGAAAATGCTTTGGAATCTATAATATAAAATAGTAAGTTATATACAGCATCATACTGTGAACAGTAGCTTGGTACCCTGCATCTACCTAATTCGCATGACGCCATCAAAGTAAAGTTATGAAAGTAACCTGAACATTTTAATAGAATATTCACAACTTTATCAACATCGCTGTTTGTAATATTTTCGCATGAATCCTTACCAGATATTAAAGCTATATAATTTGGCACACTCCATATAGGACAGCAGAGTTCTTCTGAATGTAATGGTCGTTGGCACAAGTTGTAGAACTCTTCTTCACCCATTTCGATGAGCAGGGACTGCAATTGACACATTCTTTTAACATTCTCGAAAGAGAGCATTGATTTTCCATCTGTAGAAGATACAACCAAATGTGCATAATCAGCAACAGGTGCCCCACACACACCGGAGGCATAATTATGAAATACTACACTTCCCGGAGATTGTTGCATTTTAAGTATAGATTTCCACTGGTTTCTAGTGTGATCTTTTAGAAAAACTGTATTTTCATCTTCAAAGGAAACATTTTTACCATAGCCCCAATGGACATGGCCCTTGCTAGCATTGAACTCTGGAGAATTAAACAATGTTTTCGCAAATCCAGTGTTATTGTGCAACTTCTTTTTGTGTTTCTTTTTCTGATGTTTTTTACCAGATCTTGATTTGTCCTGTTTTGTCTTGTTGTAGGTTTCATTCATTCGGATTTGATCTTCTATTTCCTTAGGATTAACTGCTAGTCTTTTAGACGGTCTTGTTTCATCGTTAAGATTTTCCCAAGCAATAAATCGGTGGGCTAATGTAGTCCCTCTTGTTTCAAAACCAACCACTGGATCGGAAAAGGAAGGTATCTCGTGACATACTAGAGGAATAACTGTCAGGACTGTCGATATTACTATTATAATAAAAAGGAAAAAGTAAGAGTAGCGAACAATAAACCTGGCATAAGCAGAAAACATTTTTAGTTATTAATTTCATTGATATCATATTTGTTTCCTCACTCCATTTTCCAGGCATGCAATAGGGAAACATGTCCTGTTTTTGCCAGATATTAATCAAACAATAAGTATCCTTAGTAATATATTGAGATTCATTTTCATTTATTGAACGAACTGTATTTAAACAAAACTCATGTCACAAGTGACAAGTATTTTTGATTCGTCCTATTGAATATAATCGTGAGTGTTTACTGGTAAAATTATAATAATTCTTCAGCTGTCAAGTCATAAGATACAACGATCCCAAACATGAAACAATTTATATAATGTATAATTAAAATAATTTTTTAAATATTTTTGAATATACATTGTAGGAAACAAATATCAATGTAGTTATTTACGTATTCATAATTTTTTATAGATCTGAAATATTTTGGCGTACTCTTTTTTAGCTGGTACCATTTAAATATACTATCGATAGAAGAAAATTAACTCAAAACTTTAGCGGTGAAATAGTGATATGATTTATCCAATTACAACTTAATATGAAGTAACTAAAAAAAACACTTCAAAGACTAAAAGCAAGTTAGTTTATTTGTAACAATTACACCCAAAGAAATAATAAAGTCGTTGCTATGGTATGAATATTTCTTTATATTTTCAGGTAAATTTTTTCATGACTTGATTTTTTCTTTTATAAAATTTATTTCTTTGAAACTTTATTAAAACTAATGTTAATGAATTAACATGGTTGCTAACATCAATTTATTTTACACCATAAGATGTATTATATTCATTATATATTTTTAGTAACAAAAGAAGTCTATGATTCTAGGACCTTCATTTTATAAATAATAACACTCTATGGACTTCTACACAAATACCTACTTTATATCCTGGCAACATTACTTTTGTCTCTGACGTCTTGTGATCACAAGACTTCTCGGTTTTGAGCTTTCTGTCAAAGAAGAAATTGGAGAAAAAAAGGCCGTCCCTTTTGGGATCTTCAGGTTTATCAACTCCAATTGACCTCAAACTCCATCAAGATGAGATACTTTATGACCTACCTGTTTTTGCTGATCGTGGGGCTGGCGGTACCGATAGTTTCGATGTACTATCTTCTATCTGGAAAGGGTGAGCAAATAAGTGTCGGATGGTTCTTGGAGAAGACTTCCCCATATATGTGGGCATGCTTGGGAATTGCCATGGCCGTGTCTTTCTCTGTAGTCGGTGCTGCTATGGGCATTCACACGACCGGAGTGAGCATAGTCGGAGGAGGTGTCAAGGCCCCTAGGATTAAAACTAAGAACTTGATCTCCGTCATTTTCTGTGAAGCCGTAGCTATTTACGGTTTGATCACAGCTATCGTCCTCTCTGGTATTTTGGAGCAGTACAAGGAGCCAGTCATCGACAAAAATATCGAAGAAGCGAATTGGATGGCTGGTTACGTGATGTTCGGGGCTGGTTTGGCTGTGGGATTGGTAAACCTGTTCTGTGGTATCGCTGTCGGAATCGTTGGTTCCGGCGCGGCCTTGGCTGATGCCGCCAATGCTGCCCTTTTCGTCAAGATCCTCATCGTAGAAATCTTCGGATCAGCCATTGGGTTATTTGGACTCATTGTCGGTATTTACATGACTTCAAAGGTCAAAATGGGCAACCAATAACTTAAGGAGAAAGTACAACTTGAAATTAAGTGTGAGTATAAGTTTAATATTAATAATGTAGCCTCTGTATTTCTGTGTAATGCCCTAAATTAAATTTCTAATGGGAAATAAAGAGTTAAAATTTGTCATAACTATCAGGGTTCAAATCTCAAGTCTATGGAATGACTGTAATAGCAAAGCAAGTTGAATATTCTGCATATTATTTTTTAGAAATTTTCATTCCAGCCCTAATTCAACAGTAATTATACAATTTTCATGTCTAAAACTTATTATCTTTTTTTAATCTTACACTAAAATATGCTTTGATCACTTTGTCTGCCATAGAAAATAATGAAAATGAGTTTTGTATATATAATTGAGTTTTGTAATATTTCTTGTATTGCACATCATCTGCTAGTTTTGGTTCTTTCATAATTTTAAACATTATTATAGTTAATGAAGTCCCAGAGAAAGTAATGTTCTTTTATGACGAACATACAAAAATATAAATGTATATGAGCAGATTGATGTTTGAATGAAATAAATTATTCTAGCTCTTCAGCTAACTAAATATAAGATGAGACAAGTACAAGACAAGTCATTTTTGTATAATTTAATGGGAGTCACCCATTTTAGTTATACCTTCAAATAATATAAAATTTTTGATCTTATTGACCAAATAATATCTTTATAACAAAGTACAAAATAATTTTTTTTTTATTAATAATATTTGCACTTAATTAAATCTTAAACTAATGTAATATTTTTATTATCTGTATCAGTTATCAATTTATCAATGAAAATTTCAAATTTATTTTAGTAATCAAAATTTTTATAACATAAATACTTCCTTACTATGACAATAAATGTCTTATAATATTTTTTTTGTTTTCAGTTAACAAGCATTTTCCAGTTGCCTGTGCTAAAATAACCGAGAAGCAACTTTGTTTCAATAAGTGTTGGAATTATCTTCAGCCACTGTTTGTTGTGTAATGAATAAGTTTTCCATAATTAATATTTGATCTTAGCACCCCAAAGAGCTCAAATGTTATTTTAGCATATATTTTTTTCTGTTTTATCATTCTGTTAAAATGTCATAAGCATTTTTTTCTTACATTAATTTGTTTTATCAAACTCTTTCTTAAATTGTGCTAAGATCTTCTATTATGCTGATTTTTAATTTGGAGTGTTGTAGACAAAATGTAACTCATAGTAATGTGTTTATACCCTCGCAGCGTCCTGTTTTAAATTGACTAAATATTACATTAAATGTATTTATAGTCACTTTATCGAGGATTCAAACATTCCATGAAATGTCAATACATTTGTAAAAGCTTTGACTCATAATAGCCATGTGTGTAAATAAATGACACTAAATTAAAAAAAAAAACATTTTTGAGATGGTAACCCTATAGATAATGTCTGTTTGTATAAAGTTTAATCCATTCTTATTATAAATTTAAAAAAATCTATTTGAGAAATTCTACATTTTGAATTAGATGTCTATTTTATTAAATGAGTTATCCGTTGTGTAAATATAAGTTTTGCTTCCTTTTACGAGATATATACTAATTTATTGTATATTTAAATTCATATCCATAATAACTTAAATTTAGGTCTTATGCATGCCTTTCTGTATAGAATGTTATCATCTGGCACAAATAGTGGAACAAAATGAAATAATAGAAAAGTATTATGGTATCAGCCTAAGAACTGTTTACTTACTGCGTTTATAAGTTAAATATATTTGTGCAAATGTAGATATTATGTATGTTGATGAATAAATAGATAAAAGTTATAGTTTTTTATTTGTCATGTGATGACCTTATTTATTTTAGCACAAGTATTGAAATGTGTTGTGTAATCCTAAAGAAAAAATGCCTGATTGAATTCATATAAATATAGATAAGAATTATTAACAATAAGTATATATTAACTATTTTATCTTAGGAGCATTACATATATAATTTAGATGCCCTGTGAAATTTGGAATTTAACAAAATTTTTACTGTGTATTGAAGTGGAGATAGTCGTCAATAGTTCTTTAAGTAGACGTAAATGATTAGCACATTTTGAATAAATGTACCTCGTATCATAGACTAAGAAACAAGGATTAAAGTGGCGTCAAAATAACCTGACTTGTTTGTATTTTTGTTCTAATAAACTACAAAATTTTAGTGTAGTTCAAATCACAGGCAAGTGCTTTTATGCGCTTCCTTGTTACTGCTGTAGCTGTAAAAAGGTATTCTTACAAATTGTGATTTTATAAATAAATAACAAAACTACATAGCAATAAAATATTTTTTATTTCAATATAAAACAGTTCCGACGCTACATGTAATAATTGTACTGCTACATATAAAAAATACAAAGCGGTATGTAAATTGAGAATCTGAGGTGACAAATAATTTTTCAATTGTGTTTCTATAGATTTTATTATCTATTTTATCTATCAATCAATCAAATATAGATTAATCAAATTTCTGAATTATACTTAAGACTCTTGAATTTCATATTTTATTTAACTGCATTCATTTGTAGATATTTTATGTTGTCAGGCTTATGAATTAATCACACCTAGCAAATGTAGTATCCTTTTTTAAATATTTCGATGGGGTAATATTTTATTAGAAAATATCTATAACTACTTTAAATTTTCTGTCACTACGTTCTATAGATTTAACAGCACTTAATTCAAACATTTTTTCATATTTTTGACTTTATTATTCAAGGGGCAATTTTATGAAAAATCTTTTATGAACAGTAGGTATGGTATTTTGCGACAATAAATTATTTTTTTATGCTAAAGGGAATGTGCCAGTAAAGCTTTTATTAAACTTATAATAATTATAAAGTCCTTAAACAACTAGAAAGTGTAAAACTTTGTTTTATTTACAAAATAGGTGGACTCTTCGTTTCAACGCTCAAACGCACAGAACACTCTTCACGGTACAACACTATATACATAAATTGCAATTATAGAAAATTTATATTAAACATGTCTGATGAAATCCTAGATGTGATCCTAAAACTTAAAGAATACAATCTATAAGTTTTTGCTGCTACATAGAAAAATACTTTTGTATCTTGATAACATTTTTCTATCCAATTTATTTACATACACTCTAGCAAAATTTCCTTTGAAAGCACTATATATAATTGTTATCAATTATTGTACACCCCTAGAGGCAAATTTTAAAAATATTAACTTTTTTTGCATCAATGATTTACATTTTTATTTTACAGCGAACAAAGGCAAACTAATGGTTACATATAACAACAGCATTTATAGAGTTTTATCTAAACACATCTCTACAATATTATAATTTATATTTCCGGCTAAATTATACATTACAATTTTGTTATAGTCATGTAAATTAAAGAAACGTCTACTTATAAACATTTTTGGATTATTCTTATGGATTAAAATCATTATCTACTAAATTGTTATATATATTTATAAAATGGCAATTATTCTACTTAAAGCATAGACAAAAATTTAAAATGAACAGCCGTTATGCTACTTATGGCAGTGAACACTGAATAATGAAACAGTCTTTGCAAATAACATCTAAATTATTTTGTAATATTTTACAATTACGAAATAAAATAAATTAATTAACTAATTGAGATTCATTGGAAATCTTGTACTATCTTTTCTTAAACTCTTGTTTCGGCGTCATCTTCATTAGTAGATTTCCTTGAACAAAATATTAATTCATATATATTGTTTGTATCTTAAAATATTATTAATGCGGGCTTGGGTTATTAAAGCTAGCTCTACAACAAAAACCACCATAAACATAATGGATTAGAATACAAACAAATCTCGTCTTCTACAAACTACACTCACAGGCGTTGTTACACAGTGCTAATTAAATATTCAACTACTATTATAATCAGCGGGGACATGAGATCACCATATTTTTGTCTACTAACAAAAAATATGCGATTAAATAATTAAATCTTTCGACAATTTATAATATTCATATATCAATGAGTGGTTAAGAAGAATCATAGAGAAATAGATTTCAAGACCAAATAAGTGCATTGATGTGTATCCGAATACATTTGAAATGTGTCAAGTACGATTTTGCATACGTCCAAATGAAATATGGATAGGTTTTGGTGTTCTATTAATATAAATATGCAAAAACCCTGAAACCGTTCATATTTATGTTGATGATGCAAACCTTAATTACATGTATAAAAATATTGATATGTTACCTCCTCCCTAAGATGATTGATGATTTTGCGCGTGACAACACCACCGGTTAGCAAAGCAAAAGATGATTTTACAATGAGTGTTTCTCATATAACCTCCACCATCTATTAACAGTTGTGTATAGTAAAATAAAGCTAATTTTGTAACTTTTTTAGATGAATAATTATTGAAACCAAATAATATAAGTGAATTATTTTAATATACATATATTTATAAAAATTTATTTAATTTGATTGGTTATTCAATTATTATTCTACCATAGACTTGTATGTGAATATTATAAATGTAAATTTATATATTTCTTTCTTCCACTGTAATTATATGTTATATAAAATGATTATATGAAGATAGGTATAGAGATGAATCTCTAAGCATATCTTCTTTTTGTCACAGATATATAAGAAAGATAAGATACTTAATCATTTTTTTATGAATCTTAAAGATAAAATTTGTTTTGTAAAATAAAAAAAATGATTAAAGGTGTTAAGAAGGTTTATTAGTGTGTTCAAAAATGTTTGTAAATTACTATTAATAAGAAAACTAGAAGAATAAAGTTTTAAAAGTTTTAAATATTGTTGAGAAAAAAATCATAAATGTGCTCCTGAATGTAACACATTTTATACTTACTCGCTCGTTTCCCCCATACTAGCGAGTGGCGCCCCCATTGGCTGTTGACTGTCACCTGGATATAGCGAAATAGGATTACTGATATTATAACATTAAATAACAATAATAATTTTTCTATTAAATAATTAGATTCTAATTAGGTATGAAGTAATATAATACAGAAATGGTAAAACTCTGTTTTTATTTTATATAACTAACCTGCATCACCGTTGAGTCGTTGCGGTGTGTGCGCGTGGTCTTCTTCCGCTAAAGAGAAGCAGATAAATAAAAAGCAACTTCAATAAGCATCGTGTGAGCAACGTAAGAAAAATAACACGCGCAAAAAACAAAAATAAACAAATAATTTTATGTGAATGTAAAACAAACTATTCTGTACCAAACGGTATACTACAGGCTCTACTAATGTACTTGAGGCACACCAACCTGTATAAGGGAACAAGTATTTATCGTGAGGATGATGTTTGTCAGATCCATCTGACATTCTGTCATTGTATTCGTAATGGCCTTCCATTTTCCTTTGATAGTCGTTCTTTAACATGGTAGCTATCCCGGAATCCCGGAAGTCACGGGGCGGGTACGCGTCGTGCTCTCTAGCTGTGACGCTGGAATCCCGAAAATCCCGGGATCCGTAAACACTGGGTTCCGTATTCAAGTATTTTGTGGGACTGTATCCGTAATCGGAGGTTCGAGACGACAAATAGGTCTTTGAGCCGTACGGATTAGTTGGAAGTCTGTACATAGTTGGAGAGATTGGATACGTTGGGTCATACGGCATCTGTTTATCCGTTTCGGTGCTCATAACCCCGTACATCAATTCGTCTTCCATGACGCCGTATCTAATCAGAACAAAATTTATTATTAATATTAAGTTTCATATTAAGAAGATGGTAATAATGTTGAATAAATCAAGTAAGATCTTTTTGTTTGTTAGTTCTGTTTGGTGTAAAACTCGACTGCTGTCAACTATTTTATACTGTTACTGTTTTTGAAGTATATAGATTGAGTGTTCTACCAACATTTACAAAATACTAACAAAAACGTACCAAAATTAATAATATCGATATGTATTTTTGACTACCAAACTTCTTACTCTTTTTTTCTCCATATTCTTTTTGAATAAAACTATATTTTTGCAAGTTTGTATAAAAGTTTGTTTGTATATTATTAAAATAAAACTATGTGTATTTTCGTATCAAAACACATATAAAGTATATGTCAATTTAATATTTATAATTATGAACCCAATGGAACGGTTTCATAACGTTATAGTATCCGTTCTGATTAAGATTCAGATTCATGGAATCATGCTTTCTATTAGTTTACATAATATATACCTTATGGTATCCTAATCATAAAGTCGAAATCTTTTATATCAAGCACAACTTGTGAATATACAGGGTGTATGAAAAACTGTGTCAACCCTCTTAACTACGTTATCAGTATCGATAATGTAACACAATAAAACAACTTACATTTACAAACTCTTCAATAAAAATAATAAAATTAAATGATTATTATATGTAGAGTAACAAAATGTTTGTAAAACCTGGTATAACACGATGACACGCAATGACGTCATCACAGCTGCTGCGCTACTAGTGACGACCTTGAAGTTACTTTCACATTATTGAAAATATCGATATTTAAAAAATCATAACAATAAATAAATATTTAATATTCATATTATTTCGATACTTAGTTTGATATATCAAACATTAATATTATGTTTGATGTTAAAACATCATTTTTAACAGAAATAGATTAACGATTTATCGTAATAATACAACATATGTAGTTAATTTACCTGAACAAGTTTCAAATTATAATATTTATTATTAATAAAAGTTATTTTAAATGAAATTATTTTAATGTGAAAAGCATAACTATTTATACCAATATTGAAAATGTCGATAGAATATTTATCGATATAACTAATTTTTACACTTTCAAATCTCTATTCGAACAACTAACAGAATAGTAATAATAACGCCGGCGGCCCGTCGCCTGCGGTCATTGGACACGCATGCGCCGTAGCGACTATATGGTGTCTTGACCTTGTATGAGTCAGATGTTTGAAACATTCTTTCGAAAAATGTCGATTTAAAACTTACTTAGCCTATGCACTGTAACTGACTTCTGCTTGATTTTTTTTAAGTTATACTATTTTTTATAATAAGCTTATACTTATATGTATACGTGCCTTCAAGGGTTGACACAGTTTTTCATACACCCTGTATATTAGATTAATTCCTCTACTTATTAAACAATACCTATTATCTATCGGTAGCCTGCTCGCGTCCACGCTAGCCACGTACGTGTCGTGAACGTTCTCCAGTATGGATGGTTTGAGGCGATGTCTCATCTGGTACACGTCGGACGTGAGGTCGGGGGTCGGCAGGGGGCGGGGGGAGGGGGTCGCCTCCCCTCCACGCATCTCCTCGGAACCAGTCTCTTGGGACCAACGATTTGGTTCTACGATACAGATGTTTATATATGAAGGGTGCTATTTTATACCCATGGTTGGACCTTTCATGTAGTTTTTTAGTGAGAATAACTTCTCAGCAATCAATGGAATCACCGTGCGTGTGTCGGGTCCATCGTCGTAGTGAGAGGAGCTTCAACAGTGACTGGGACTTGCGACCCAGGTGTAGGTTTAAGTGGTCCTATCTAACGCTCGTTAAACGCTCACCTCCACTGTCCAAGCTCCTCTCCCTACAACTACAACATAGTTACGAAAAGTTATGTTATATAATACAAACCCTCTCTTATATGCGGCTGCCATCGAGGAGTGATCGCTAAAGGAGCGCCTTCAGTGATGTTCGGAAGGTAGCTTGTGTTGGCGCCGCTGGGAGCTCGGTCTCCTGAATAAAAGAATATTATATAACATGAGATTCTTAACGATAGATGCTTCAGAGTTCAGTCAAGTTAACAAAGTTTTTATTGCAGGAGTTGTGAGTTCATGATAGTGAGGTGGAGAAGTTTATGATGGAAATAAGAGGCAGTATTAGAAATTAGAAGCGAAAGCGGAGGCGAATAAAGCGTGATGAAGAAAAATGAATACTGTTAAAGCTCTTCTCTGTGGAGGCTAGGTAGTGTACCTTTAGTGTATTAAGGGATAATGTTAAAATTGATCTCGTATGTGTGGGTCAAGGGGGTGTAAGTGTAGTGTACCAGGGGATAATGTTAAAACTGGTCTTGTCTGTGTAAGTGTAGTGTACTAACGCAGTGCGGAGGGCGGGTGCGAGGAGCGGCGGGAGGCGGTGTCCTCGTCGTCCGAGGAGTGACTGGACGCGAGCTCGAGGCTGCGGGCGGAGGCTTCACTCTCCGTGTCCGAGGGGTCAACGACCTCGTCACCGGAACGGGACTTACGGTGACGGCTACCGGCTATAAGGGTTCGTATAATGTGCATTAAATAATAGTTTTGTTTTTTTTTTTGTTAGCAATGCGGCATTCACAGCGTCACCGGATTGTGGGCCGATGCTGGGACCGAAAAAGAATAATATTTAAAATATGACGAGTTTTAATGGCAATTTTATGAACAATAAACATACGGATAATTTTTTAAGTGATATCTTAGATGTACTCGTAAAATATGTTTTTCAGTCTTACATCGAATTGCATAATTTGTTTTATTTACAATAACTGACCCTCGAGAAGTCGAGATGTTAATTTTTGAACTAAATTATTATCTATGAATCTAACCATCTTTTCTCGTGTGTAATGATGAATCGAATCCTCTCAAGTAGGCCGGCATGTCGCTGGCGCTAGTGTTGTAGTTGGACGTTGAAGTGCTCGTGTGACGAAGTTGACCATCGCTGCGACTGAAACAAAAAATAATAATATATGTAAAATCTGTCATAAAACCGATGTAAAGAGCCTATCAAGATTAGTCATATAGATGTTTATATTATGAAAAAAGTTTGTCTCTGAGTTTGTAAATTTTAAAGTCTATGTAGTACCTAAAAAAATTAATGAATTTTAGGAAAAGAAAAAACTCGAGGCAATTTCATATACATACTCGTATTATTAGAATAGTAAATGAAGTATGTTTATGCCATTAAAGCATGAGTACGTATAAATATTGCCTACATATAAACTGACATTAAGGACAAAGAATTCCCATGTTCTATACGTCACTTTTAATGAACATTTAATTAAAGGAATTGTACAGAATTCTCGATATGACAATAAATTATCAATTAACAGAAAAAGTTGTTTAAATATTTTTTCCTATGAGATGAAACTTCTTAGCAACCAATGGATTCACAGTGCGGGTACCGGGTCCATCGTTGTAGGGAGAGGAGCTTCTACAGTGCCTGGGACTTGTGGCCCAGGTGTAGGTTTAAGGTGCCTCTATCTAACGCGTTATACGCTCACCTCCACTGTCCAAGCTCCTCTCTCTACCTAACCAAATATATTATCGTCACCTGTAAGGACTGGAGCTCGTTTTAGTCGTTGATCGTGATGTGGTCGACGAGGCGGAGATGCCTATATTGCGAAGTTGTCGTCCCTCCGTACTGCTGTGGTAAGCCAATGCAGATCTGGAGAAATAAATGTTCCGATAAGAATAACACTCACAATCAAGAAAAGTCTTTAGCTAATAAAGGTTGGCAGATAATATTCAAAAAGGTAATGTATGTATATTAGTTACACTAATTCAAAAAGATATTATGTATTTTTGTACAAAAATAACTTATTATAATGTATTAATATAATTGTATAAAGAAGATTTCAATTTTCAATTCATAGAGATAGACAATGATTCGATTGTTTGTCTTTAAGTAATTCTTTTTATCTATAGTTTGTCGGCAACAGCACTTTTCTTTTAGGTAACACTTGTATTTTTTAACATATTCATACCTATTAACTTGTGACAGATTTTGGGCGCTCGTGCTAATGATGACTGATGTATCCACTGGAGGCACTTTCTTGCCCAAACACCTCAGCATGGTCCTGCAAAATATTACAATATGTATAACATTTCTAAATAATAATCAGTAATTGTATAAGTACGTCAATACACAATAGAATATGTGCAATGGTCTATGATCTATTATAAGGTTTGAAAAAGTAAGAGAGATTCGAATTAAATTGGGTATACTGGTGCCATATATCATGGAAATATATAATAAAAACAATCTACGAATATATAAGTAAAGTACCTTTTAAGATTATCTCTAACGCGAACGTTGAGAGCAATGTATCCTAAAGTCGCTGCGGCTGCGTGTAATGCGACTGCCGCCGCTAGCGCCGTACTGAGCGCATCCCGACGAGAACCCGCCTCACTGCCCAGAACTAACGCACTAGCCCAAGATACCACCAACAATGGTAAACATATGATACTCACGCCAAGCAGCAACCTTAAATAATAAACAGATTTATAAAACCTAACCAAACATACTTAATTTGAAAATTCGTGTCATTGAAAGCAGTTAAAATTTGTAAATAGTGACTTTTTAATGTCTCATGCTAAAACCGAGATCAGTTACTCTTAAATAATAATTAAAAATAAAATGCAATTGATTATATAAATAATCCATTTAAAAATATTTTCTTTATACTGAAGTTCTTTCTATAGCAAGTAGCAGCAGTTAAAAATTGCTATAATATCTCAGTATATGTACCTCAAATTTCCAAACCCGATGACGTGGTCCCTGACAGTAAAGGCAGCTCTCGTTGCACCCGCGAGTAGGACGAGCGCGGCTGAGGCGTACAACCCCGCGGGTATCACAACCCACCACACTACAGCCTCATGACAACTCACCCAACAGCTAAAAAAATAACACTCCTTAGTAAAATACACAAATATTCCCAAAGAGCGTTGATGTCAGACAGGCGGTCGTAAAAACAATTAGCCAAAAACTATTTACAAAATGTAAGGCAGACCCTGGCTAAAGCTGAGAAATTGATAGGAAGAAGAAGAGTAAAATACATAAATGTCATATAAACATAATATAGGTAGAACAGACGGTAGTAGTCAATATAGTACAGTTTTCTATGCTGTCAAACATTTTTGAAGCAATTTGGGGTTAATTATTATTCGTTATTTAGATATGCATAAAATTCGTGTCTATAAAAATTGTGTGACACAACAAAGGCTATTGTGCCTACCACAATTAGTACCTAGTAACTTTAAGCGTTAAAGTTGATTACTTTACAAAATTTTGTGCAGGAAATGGCTACAGAATATCAAAATTTAGTTTTATAATGTCAATTGATTTGAATTAACACAGCAAGTTTATGCATGAAATGAAGTATTTATCGTAGTGTCATGGTGTCAATGAGTAAATACAATGTATGCCAAAAATGTACTCACAAAGTATTTATCATAGTGTCATGGTGTCAATGAGTAAATTCAATGTATGCCAATAAACTCACAAGAGTGCGTTGCCGTATTGATGCTGGTGATGTGCCGCAGCCAGTGCCAGTAATACAGCAGGCGCGGCATATCCGACCGCCAGTTGTGCCGCCAGCGGCCCGTGGTTCACGTCCCTCAACTCTCTCACCAGCCGCCTCACTTGCCACGCGTCACACGCGGCCCAAGCCAGCGCACTCACCCACCAGTAATGTAGGGACATCGCTACCAGCTTACACGCGAACTGAAATTCGTGATTATAAAATGACGATTAGATAAAGAGATTTCTTTGGGTCTGATTTAAAAGTAATAATTTTAAGTATGAGGTTATTGTATGAGTGTGTGAGGGGCAAGTGCTAAAATGAGTACAGGAACTTAGTCCTCATTTCCACACCAGGTAACGTTGAGTGATGACTTTTACTCCGTTTCTATATTCTTGTTTTTTCGTGATATTTTCTAAGATTATTGATAAGGAATTCATTTAGAAATATAAATTTTGAAGCAAGTATTGTGTAATTATCAGTATTACATATATAACAAAGACGTAGTATTAAGAATAATTCAACGTACCTCATTCTGCACTAAGGTAGTGCGTCCTTTCAGAGCGATCAGGTAGAACATCTCAGCCATGAATACACAGAAGATGAGGTGTTTGTGTATGGAGTTGGACACAGTTGACGCGCCGCCCCGCATCAGACATAACGCCGCCCATGTCCACATCAGTAAAGGAAGAGAAATACTGAAGCCTGTGTATGACGTCACCGCTTCGAGGAGGGAAGGTTCCGGAATAAACTGCAAATATATACAATATTTGATGGTTTTTACCTCAGATTTAGAGGATATAATTTAGGCGAAATGTTTAATATTGGCCATGAGATTGAGTAGTGGCTTCTATTGGTTATAGGCATTGATATTTTAATGAGTCCAAGAGAAGTAGGGTTTTCCCAGTGGGACATACGTATAGCAATTCTTATAATACATAGTGAACGCAATAGCATTCGAAATTTCCTAACGGTTTAGAGCAAATATTTTTATGACAGGATTATCCTATTTGTGGTTCGTGTACAAACATATAATAATGTACAAACGTACCTCGATATCAACTTCGTCAACTAAAACGGCGAAAGTAGATAGGTGATTGCAAGTACAGTTGATGAGCAAAGGCTCGTCAGAATATGGAGACCAGTCGTAGTCGATCTCTGTGTGGCAACCGACACGAGACCATTCACCAGGCCTGGGAGAAATGATTTATGAAATTAGACCTTAAATTATGATTAAGGTTCAAATTAAATGTATTAAAAACAAACCCGTTAGCGGTAGACCAATGAACACATTGTGGATTGGTCCTTGATCCAAACGTCTCTCTGTTAATGTCGAGCCATATTTGTAGTCTTATCGGCTTCTTTAATCTAACTCCGTTCAAACTTTTATATATCAACTTCTTTTTCCCGACCTCCTTTGAAACATTGGTTTCTTTATCTTTTTCGTTATCCATGACTAGGGCCAAAACTTTAGGTCCTTCAGAATTTTCTAATCGCTCTGCCACGTATGAGGAATCATTTTCTTGTAGACTGTCGCCGTATGACTTTTCTTGTTTCTTATAAGCTGGTTGGATCACAACTGGTCCGTGATCGCTACTTAACTGTTCATCGTCAGAAGACCACGTGCGTTTTGTGTGTGTGTTAGAATGTGCATTTATATCGTTATTGACTTCTGATTGATGGTGGCCTTTGTTAGCGTACATAATTCCTGAAAGAAATATGTACAAAAATAAACTTTATGTTTTTCCGCATTTTCTCTACAGATTATATGTATATTTATTAAGCGAAACTTGATTCTGACAAAGACCACTCAGCACTTTTTTACACTTTTTTATTGGTACATTGTTAAAATATGTAAGATAAAAAAAGAACAAACTGAATATTGAAATTAATTGTTTGTGAAAAAAACTCTTTTAAATCGCAAGAAAAGCGTTAACAATTAAACCCAGCTAAAGTTCAAAAGGACCACTTACCTTCAACATCATCGGGAGTATCCACATTATCAGCAGTAGTTTCTCTCTGCCACACAGCTTCTGGCACGAATAAAGCTACCTGCATCACAGCGGAGCCGATAGTTATATTCACTCCCCAACGACGACTGACTGACTCATCGAAGTACAACGGCAGAAGATGTGAGGAGTTTCGAGAATATTGTAGATATGAAAACACAGCTCTTGATTCGTAGTTACTCTCTAGATTATCTGTAATGAAAAATATTTCTTGAGTATACAGAATTATTACATTATTTTAACCCTTTAACGGTCATGTTGGTTAAGGGTATATAATTAATAGAAGTAAAAACATATGTATATATAAATATATTTTTTTCAAACATTTCATTGTCAAACTGTCTATTGACAATCAAAAAAGTTGTCTGAATAAAAAAATACGGCCGGTGAACGAAATTTCGGTTTAAAAATAAATAAAATCAAGGTGGTGAAAATATCGCCTCAAAACTTATAAAGGGTTAAGTTTGTTCTGTTTTTTACCTTGTACATTATTGATGCCAATCAAATCCAATGGCAGAAGCACTCTGGAGAATTTGTCAAATTTGTTTTTGTTTTTCACGTAATTGTTATACTTCGGAAATGATACGGTGGGACTTGATGGCTTTTTGTTCTTTGATTTACCGATGCCGTAGTAACCAAGCGTTTGGATGGGTGAGTGAATGAATGATGAAGTGTCCGGTAAAACTACACGTTCGGTCGTCAACGAATCACTCAGTCTATTAAGAGTCGTGGGTTCGAAGCCGTATATTGATTCTGCTGTTACGATATCAACTCCAATCACTGAAATTTAAATACAAAATTGTATTAATTAAATACAATATAATTCTTTTATTTGCTTTGTCTTGTGTTAATAGTCTTGTTACCTAAATCAGAAGTGACTATCTCAAATGGGCTGGTGTATGTATCATGTTGACTTTCCGCTAGTACTGCTATGTATTTATCGAATTGTTGTATCAAATGTTCAGCTCCATGACCAGTTAGTTCTCTAATTCGTGTCCATTCCTTATCGTACTGGTTATTTATAATCGTGTTTGCTGATTTTATGATATTCTGTAAAAAAAATAATATTTAAATTTTGGGAATAAGTTAGTTTCATTACCTTCTACCTGACAATTTCCCAGCTATAGCCAGGGTCTGCCTTACATGTTGTGAATAGTTTTGGCTATTTATTTTTACGACCGGCCGCCTACCTAACATCAATCCTCTTTTGGGAATCAGCTTAATCAGTGATGTCTAAATACTCTTAGAAAGTATATATGACTCAGAAAAATCACATTGGTACTTGTCCGGGCCAGGATCGAACCCTTGCCCTCAGGCATGAGAGGCGGACGTTTTAACCACTAGGCCACCACTGACTAATAAGTTAGTTTCATTATCTGAGCACTACTTACACGAACATAGTCCTTATCTTGACTATGCGTAAGGTTCAAACCGGCTTGTCTAAGTTCGTATTGCAGAAGTTCCAGTATAATCCCTTCTGCCACCAACACATCTGCTCCATATAATGGTTGCGTGTTATCACACGCCGTCGATAGATCTTCGGCCAAACGTACACCCACGAACGTATTAACTTGCAGTTCCCCTGTTTCTATTTTGTGGAGCTGGTGATAAAAGTAAGTAATTTAAATTTTTATACTATATTTTGGGAAACAAATCAGCTTATTTTTTGTGTAATATCAAGCTACGTAGTTGAATGGTTATACAAATGTGAGTACCAAAAATTTTTATTTAATATATTTATCAAGATAGATGTCCAAAATTTCTTATGTAAGATGTTAAAAAAATCATTTAATATAAAGCTAAAGAAGCTTAAAATGCGGTAATGGAAATTAGACTTAATATCTTCAACATCACAGCTTAAAATCTAATACGTGCCGATGATATTTTCAGTTTATATTGATTATTTGAGTTGTAATATTATACAAAGTCTAACCTGTTTTCTAAGTTGGTAAAATGTAGAAGTAGTACAATTGAACATATCTGGTTCCTGCCATGGTATCACTTGTTTTTCGTCGCATAGACGCTTAGCTTTTCCACTGGATCCTTTAATGAAGATCAAAATGTTTTATTCATTGTAATAAATGTAATATAGTATTAATAATTATAAATACCTGTTGGACACTCCGTAACAGCTTCTATACCAAATTTTGTTTGCGGCCACCAAACTCCATGTGAAAATGATCTTGGACATCCATCGTACACAACTAAAAAGAGAGAAGTTAGATGCAACAATCTTCGCCTAGGATTATTCCTTAAATACTATTTAAATTCAGCGTACCTTTACATCCAGCATTGGGAGTAACCTCAGCATAAACATTAGCGCAAGAATCACAGGCTCTTCCGATCACGCCGTTTCTACAGTAACATTGCCCAGATGACAATTCACAAGAGCCGTTTACAGAACCGGCCGGGTAACATTGACACGGTATGCATTCCTCTGAACCAATTGGCTGATAGTGGTTCTCCTATATTAGAAAATTCAAGTTTAATGATATAGCACTCTGGTTGCAAGTTTAATTGATATTAAATATTCATTACATAATAATATATTATAAAGATAGGATTATGTGAAATGAAACTAATATTTGTTGTCTTATTTTTAACTACATACTATGAGATTGCGATTTTTTCTACCCGTGATCACGGTTGCTGCAAAGTATCTAACATGGCGGGAGTATATAGCTTAAAAATATGCTTAGTAATCCAAAAATATTAGTTTCATTTCAAAGAATACTCGCAAAAATCTTTGATCTCATTATAGGACTATGTTTTCGTTATAAACCATATGGGCGAATCGTGATTGGCTATGTGGATGTTGTTTTTTCGATTTCTTGCAAAACTTTCCATTAAAATAATTATATATGGAAATATAATGTAATTAATTAATTATGTACCTTGCACCGACATCGTCCAGTGTCCGCATGGCAGTGTGGGTGTAAACCCTTCGCGGAGCACGCACAAGGACCGCACGCACCCCGCGCCCCCCACCACCCACCAGGACAAGATCCGCTACGTGCACTCGTACATCCAGACTCTGATGAAAATATATTTAAAAACAATATTATATATAGAGAATCTCTTTCTCAATTTAAATATAGCATGATTATTAAATTTAAGCCACTGTGTTCCTCTAAAGTGAAGATACAGCGTTAATTATATATGTATATATAAGAGATTTCCACCTATATATTGACTCATCACGATATCTCTCGAACCATAAGGCGTAGCGACTTGAAATTTGGTAGGATTATTCCTTTAGCCGAGTAGAGGTCAGCTAAGAACGGATTTTACGAAATTCTACCCACAAGGGGGTTGCGGGGGCGTTAACAATGGAAAATACGCTTTCACGCCTAAACCACTGAACTGATTTTAATGAAATGTAAATGAAAATGGAGTTGACCTTGAGAAAGAATATGGGATAGTTTTTATTCCAGACTTTTGAAAGGTTCTCTTGGAAACGCGATATAACCGAACTCCACGCGAGCGAAGCTGCTGACGGAAAGCTAGTTTATTATATAAACGATTCTTCATTGATCTGACACGAACACATTTTCAGTTCAACTTGTCATATCAACAGTTTTCAGTTCAACTTCAACAGTTTTCAGTTCAACTTCAACAGTTTTCAGTTCAGCAACAGAAATTTCAGAATCACATAAATAAGTATAATAAACTCACCCGTCATAATATACCCGTCCTCACACACGCACGTGTACCCTTTATCCGTGTGATCGGGGACGCACACGGCGTGATCACCACACGGGTGTAGTTCACACGCACCCACACACATCGGCCCGACCCGCCCCGCCTCACACACACACTCAGTTGTGTCCCACGAAGACACGCATTTACTCTGATATATTAATATACAAAATATTACATATATTTTAACAAAAACATTATTGTTTTACTTTTCTGATATACGCCGCAACTTAATTTTTGATAAAAAATACGTATCCCGACTTTTCGGTTACTTTTCAGCAACCGTGATCACGGGCAGACGAGATGTTCATCTGAAATGCTGAAAAGTAGCCGAAACGTCGGGAGTAAGTAGTTTTTATCAAAACTAAAGTCATGTGGTATATCCGTAAAATATTGGTTTCGTTTAAATTAATAAAACTCGCGTAAATCTTAGATCTCAATATTTTGGTTTTATATTTTTATGCAAATAGATTTATTTTAGCGTAAAATAAGTATTAATTTGTATAATAATATATTATTTACTTACATATGGTGGACATATAGACAACATGCAATCAGCTCTCGACTGGCAACCGTCTCGAACATGTTCTCTAACAGTCGGACGATTTAGCAATGATTGAGCTGTTCCCACACGAACATCCTGAAAATTAAAACAAAATATAAAGAAAATGTATAACGATAGCGAATTTGTGGAATACAACCTATTTACCTGAATACATCCTTCGAAATATCCGACATCCGACGCCAGTAATGCCGGAGTAGTATCGGGTCCACCGATCACAATCTTCCCAATATATTGTCCTTGTATTTTGTTCGCTAGCATCGGCAATAAAACAGTTCGCAGGCCATAGTCCAAACTCACTGATATATCAGTTCCGAGCCATTTGATTTCGATGCGATGCCACGATCCGTCGGATAGTGAATTCGTGGGAATCAACATCGTTTCGCCGTTATATGAATAATGAAGTTGACCGGATTTCAACTAAAAAAAAAATGAGTATAAATCAAATCATTCACAAAGAAATTACATATTTGATATGAAATATTATTTTTCTAACTTACAGTGATAAGAACTGTGCTATTTTGTCCAACTTGTATTGACATGATGAAAGCATCAAGTTGTCTTGTTCGCAGTGAGAGCGCGTTTAGCCATGGCAGTTGTATAGGACGTAGCAGAGGATTGAAAGATAGCATTCCTTCACCGCTGAAGCGCCAGGGAGGAGACGTACCTGAAGATATATTTATAAATTATAGTAAACGAACAAGATATGATAAACAAATATATCGTATTGGTTTCCATTAGTTTTATTTGTTGGTGATCCAGGACTTTGAACCTTATGGCAATAAAAATAATGTCCAGTATCAAAAATATATCGCCTTTGATTACAGTTTCATTAAAAATTGTCCGCTAAAGGGCAGTGTCCATTTTTGGCCTAGCGTGAACATGCTGCTATCAATAAAACAAGTTTATGAAAAAAAAATTTTTTTAGCTAGCCATTCTATTGTTGTTTGAGTGTACATTTGTATTTTATTGAAAAAATATTTTAAAGTATCTTCATAGATTTGCTTTACTAATCCACGTTTTGTGTTACCAGCAAGATCAATTAACGATTGCGTCAAATCGAATCATCTCGCAGTACTTAATACAACTATAATTATTTAATAAAAAAAATAAAAATATTTGTTTCCAATTAGTTTCGTCATTTAAAACGTTTTATAAACTGAAATATGAAGAATGTTAAACGTAATCATATCTGTTTTCGATCGATTTTTTAATGATTTTTTTCTATTGCAACACTAATAAAACATAAAAATACAAATTGACATTGATATGTCACAGACTGACTGTTTACATTCGCTTTGTTTACCTACATTGAGAGTGTTGATTTATTGTGGATTTTCTTTCAACGATTGTTTATTCATTATGGACTCCGACCTATCTTTTTCCAATGACCCCTGCACATCTACGGACCTCGAATTTCGCTCAAACGATGACCCTGGCTTTTGTATTATGGACTCCGATCAAGGCATAAACGATGCCCAACACTCACGTAATATGGACCCCGAAACTAGCTCCATCGCTAACCACGGCTTGAATATGGACATTGAACTAAACCAAAGCGTGTCTCATGATAGTCTGCACACAGAAGAAGTGGCTTCTTACCAATCCGTATCTCTGAGATGAATAAACTGTGGCACTGATTTGATAGAGCGAAGGTTTTTAGGTGGTAGAGCCTAGCTGTAGTTTAGTTACTATAGCTCGAACATGGGCTGGCTCGACCGGGGAAGTACCACCCTCTCACAGAAGATCGGCGTGAAGTAGTCAGTAATGACTGCGTTTCGTCCGATGAGTGAGAGAGCCGGTTGCCCTTTCCCTGTTCCCAACCTTTCCTTGTATTTCCTTATTCCCACCCCTCCCTTTTCCTCCACAAGTAAGGTTGGCAACGCATCCGCAACATCTATGTTGCGGATGTCCATGGGCGGCGGCCACTACTGACCATCAAGTGGGTCGTCTGCTCGCTTGCCACCTATAACATAAAAAAAAAAAAAAAAAAAAGGCGACATAGTCTAAATCTTAATCAGGTTCAGTCTATTATAAGACAGTGGATAACTCTTTGACGAGTAAGTGTCAATTCAATTAATTATTTAAATTACTCGTTTTTTAATAGATATGTATTGTATATGCTATTCCTATAATGCAAAATGAGGTTTTATTGTTTTATATAATTATAATAAATGAAAAGATGTTTACTCCTAACACATTACCTGACTTTGTTACTGAAAATAATTTAAATAGAAGGCGGGTAGATTTTCAACCCATAAATGTAAACATGGACAGTTTTATATTTCCAAGAATAGAATATAATGATCTTATATTAATTGCATGTGGAACATACCAACTAAAACAAGCTTGTTCGTATTATGGGCAGCACATAAGAGGCAATGGTTCCTATACTATAGAAATATAGCCAGCGACCTATTGGTTGACTACCCGATTCCTTTGGCCAACTGCAGATTATTGCTTGGAAAAATACAAAGCAGGCATGTAAGTCGAAAAATATATTTTATATATGTACATATATATTATATGAAAATAATCACAATGGTACGGAAGCTATAAAAGAATATTATTGTAATTGCATGGTTGGCCAAAAGACAGTGGGTTGCTGCGCTCATATAATGACTATTTTATGGTTTTTAAGTTGGGCAAGGTATCAGGAACACATTTCACCACCTGTCTAATTTCTTGAACACATTAATAACATATGATGTCTCAGAATAAAAATAAATCATAAAAAATGTTGTTTTATTTCGCTTTAACCTGTTTTTCCTCGCATGATAAAAATCTCTTTTTAAACATTTTGATACAAAATTTAGTTCATATTCTCATTATTACTAGTTAGTGCTTTTAAATTAATTACAAAAAATATGATAAAATGTCTGTTCATGTCAGGCCAAGGTCCCCATACTAAGTGGACAATCTCCTTTATAAGTAAAGATTAAATGAGAGAAAATGTGTTGCCTATCTTAGAACTCGTAAAAATAAAAAATCACAAAGATGAAAGTTTTTCAAAGTTAATAAGTCAGTAGAGAATCGAACTCGAGTATACTACTTCCCCTGAACTGTGAAAGAACTTTTAATTATAAATATATGCTCACTTTCAGCACAATCCTTCCCGGAAAACCCATCATCACAAGTGCACAGGAATGTATCCCAAAGATCCCTACAAGGAGCGTCGTGGTAACAAGGCGCGGCGCTGCAACGCGACCTCTTCTCTGGACAACCGGCTATCGTGCCGTTGTCAGATACGTAGCTAAGAAAAATAAACGAATAATTAAGAATATACGGCTGTAGTTTTTTTGGTTTACAGAGAAAATAAATTCTTAACAATAAATTAAGTTAAACAAGCACACAGAAAGACGATAGTTGATATGGTAAGTAGTTGTAAGTAATTGAAAAATTAATGACTTATATATTAAATAATGTGCCAATACTTATATATGTATAAGTTTATAGGAAGTTATTTATATTATATTTTAAATTTTACCTGTTTAAGTCCACGAATTTGTGATCAATGTAAAAATCAGAAATACATCCGACAAAATCCTTGTTTTTGACTTGGAAACTGCTAGGAATGTTTGGTAGACCGCCAAGTTGAAGAGGACCAGTTAAGTCAAGAAATCTGGAGAAAAATGAGGTATAATTATAATAAGTCATACAATTACTACAATTAATATCGTAAATAAAAAACGTACCGGTGGCATGATTCAGTAGGAATATCACATTTGGACGGTAGCACTTTTCTCGTGAAGTTAGCACACGCATATTTTATTCCGAACTCTGAAGCACCCGCTAGGGATAACTGCTTGTCACAATCGTCTAAAATGATTGTCGCTGTCTGCACAAAAAAATATATATGACAAATCGCAAAACCATTTCTTGATAAAAAATTTTGACAACTTAAGTAATAAGAGGGACTAAAATTTACATAACTTCTCCGAGGTAGGAGTAGAGTGAAAGCCAATAAATCCTATTAATATTATAATTGCGAAAGTTTGTGAGTATGTGTGTATGTTTGTTACCTCTTCACGCTCAAACGGCTGAACCGATTTTTAAAAAATTTTGTATCCACTAAGCTGACGTCCAGGAATAACACATAAGCTACTTTACATCCCGGAAATCCGCGGGTTAAACCGCGGGACGCTGTTAGAAGATATAAAGTAGCTCTTTAATATTAAACGTACCCTATTAAAATATTCAATTTCCACGGTATGCCATTCACCATCTGCCACTTCCCCCTCTACGGTCACTTCTGTTCTTCCTCCTCCAAGGCCGAAGCTAAACCTTAGTCCTGAACCACCTCGACCGGCGTCTGAACTGATCACTTCCAAAGAGACGAAGTCATGTCGTTCGTTGTATCTCCCGTTGTATAGAAGCAAACCTGATGACGTCTGTGTTGCGAATCTGGTGATTTAGATATAAAATTATATAATTCTTGGACTGTTACTAAGTAATAAGTATAAATTTTTTCTCTTATAGCTTATTATATGTATACTTGGAATAATTATAAAGTCGTTACACTGAATATCTAATTAGATGCAACTAGTTTCATTGCAAAAAATGTGTTTTGTGATGTGAGACTAAAGACAATATGATTAAGATAATAGGAAAACAAAAAAAAGACTTATTTAAACTTAAAAGTTTCTGAAAAGTTAAGCCTTATAAAACTGTTTCCTTATAGGATAAAACGGTACGCGTCTACGTGATATAAAAAATATAATATAACTAAAGGAGACTCACTTCATTTTTAAATTAAAGCGATGCCGTCGTTTCAGTCCAGGAAATGTTAGAAATGAGGTAGCTGGAAAACTCCTGGCCTTTAATTCGCACATAGCGGTAGTGTAAGCTGTATCTATAGTACAACCCTGACACAAGATACCGCCCTCCTTGCGAGCGACGCACTGGGAACCACTGCGACATATGCTGCCGTCACCGTTCAAGTCGCATGTCGCTTTTGTTAAGATCGTTTCGCAGTTTACTCCTTTAAAAAAAAATGAGAATGTGAATCTAATGATCGTATAATATATATTTTTTAATATAAAGTTAATATATCTTCTAAGGTAACGTTTTCCTAAGTTTATATAGTAATATTTTTTATTTTATTCTGTTATTTTTACGTAATATTTTTATTTTATCTTTAAATTAGTATGTAAACTTTTTAATCGTGCACTGTTTATAGTTAGTAAATGTTATGTACACTTGTCATTGACGTACATATCTGATGTTATAATATAGTCACTTTAACTGTAAATATTCAATATGTATGTTGTGTGCTTGTTGTAAATAAATAAATAAATAAATAAATAAATAAATATATAAGTTACCCGTAAAGCCGGCTCCACACACGCAAGTATAACCTCCTTCTCGGCGCACACATGTCCCATTATTTTGGCATGGTGATGAATAACATAGATCTACTTCTGTATCGCACATGTAGTGCTCTCGGGAACCTAATAGAAAAATAGTACTTAAGTCTTGCTAAAGATATAAAACATCCAATAATTAATTTGCAAAGTATAATAATTTTTGTTTTTGAGGTAGTGAGAACTTACCAGTAAAACCTTCAGGGCACTGACAGGTAAAAGTAGTGACGGGGTAAATGGGTCGGAAAAGTACTGTATCACTGCTTATGAAACCTGACGCGTTACCAAATTTCAGAACCGTCAGACATTCCTCGTAATTGAGACACGGTTCATGAACGCAAATGTTGTCGTCGAATGGAAGAACCTGATTAAACAATGTCATTATTGCAAAGTAAAAGAGATTTTAAAAAAATGTGGAAATGGTCTTAGATAGAAAAGTCTAAGTTTATCTAATACCATATAAATTAGTTATTACAAAAGTTTTTCTAGCTTTACAAACTTAAGGACAAGTATACCATAATGGTAAAAAGTATATTAGTTGTTGGTGTAATGTAATAAGTATCAAAATATAATGTAGCACCATTCAGATATCAATGTATCCTATTTATAGTTACCTGAACAGTAGCTAGCCTGGCCAATGTAGCTCTCTGTAGGTAGACTCTCTCTCTAAGATGTGTTGGAGAGTAATAGTGCGTGCGTCCATCTCGTACTTCACTAGCTAGTTCTGCCTCCGGGCGTCTCGCGGATAGTGATACGTTCAGAATATTTCCACTTACATCCGTGTCGTCCTATGAAATATATTTTTGGTAGAATGAAAAGAAAGTTCTTTAATTTTTATTATGAGGACAACAATAACATTGTAGCCAATAAATATTTCTTGAATTAGATTGAGGTTGTCGCAGTATTTTTATTTATTTAATGGTTTAATAAGGCCACTGAGATACGACTAGTTTGATACCATTTGAACTATATTGAAATATAGCTGTTCTATAAGTAGGTTTTAGGTTAGCCTTTCCTTATAAAAAGACATTATTCATTTGTTATATTATGAAATAATGATTCATGATTTTGCACAATAACAATGTATTTTATTAAATACATCTTAGATCACTTTGACAGTGTATTGTGCTTTCTTTTCCCCTTCTATTACTATTGGTGACTTTATTATATGTTTGGTAAAATTATTTTTTGTTCACCTTATGTGTTAAAGAAAATACGTTACCTGCACACTAAATATATAAATATTTTCCTTTGGACACGGTATGATAGCCGCTAACCCGTCTATGAAAAATCCAAGTAATGGAGACAAAAACTGTTCCGCTGTCATATCGTTGAGTCTCACAGTTATTGAGTTAAACAGCATTTCTTCTGTTATCAATCGGACAAGAAGTGTCATCATTGCTTTTACTTCATTAACACCATCTGCAAATTAATTTGAACTTTACGTATTTTGGACCAATTTTTAATCTGTGAGATGTTTTTTTTGTACAAGACAATTTCTTACCTGTCACTGATATTTCCATAGTAGCTAGTTTTGGAACGTTAGTATTCAATTGTGGAGAAAGTGTCATTGAACCCGTTGTTTCATTCAGAAGGACTAAGTTTGCATTATTTCCGGACAGAATTCGGTATTGTAACTAAAAAAAAATAATATTCATAACCAAACAAACTTTGAAAATGGTTTATTTAATATACAATTCAACATACCTTATCTGTGACGTCAGCGTCATAGGCAGGTACTTTGCCAAACGGTCCCACGGGAAAACAGTCTTTATAGTTATTAAAAATGATCTGAAAATCCTTTAACATTGGTGCGTTATCATTGACATCAGTTACTAGTATTTCGACTCGCACATCGTTCCATAGAGGCGGACTGGCAGCTCTTATCACCAGCTCGTATTTCTTCCTTGGACTCTCATAGTCTAGATCTACCATTGTGACTAACTCTGCTTTGTCAGATCCTTGACGGGTTTCTAAAGAAAAACTGTTCGAGTCGTCTCCACCTAGAACACATAGAAATTATTTTAAAAAATGACTATTTTTGTTGTATATTTTTTGCCACAAAAAAAAACAACCTTTTATAGAATAATGTACAACAGCATTGGCGCCTTCGTCGGGATCGTGTGCATGAATTTCCCCAATAGTGGTTCCAATGGGACTATTTTCTGGCACGTAAAAGGAAAGGCAATCGCTGTCAAATACTGGCGGAGAATCATTGATGTCTTCTACTTTTATATGGACTATCACCTGAAAACACATTTTATTTCTCTCAGAGCTATATATATATTGTATATCTAAGACAGTACTTAAGAAAATATAGATATCTATTATCTATATAATATATAAAAGAAAGTCGTATTAGTTACTCCACTTGTAACTCAAGGACGGCTGAACCGATTTAGCTGAAAATTGGCAGGGAGGTAGTTTAGAGCCAGGAAATTGGAATAGGATACTTTTTATCCCCTTCGACAGCATTCCCGTGGGACTTGACATGAAACGTCAGACACTATAAAACGTGGAATAACGACACACAATTGACAGCTATGCAATTGACGTATAATGACAGATATGGAATGACGTAATGATGACAATTAGATATTTGTAAGAGATCTACTATATAAAAATGAGTCCGGTTTTCCATCCTGACGCTATAACTTCAGAACGAATGAACCAATTTCCACGGTTTTGCATTCGTTGTAAAACATGTGCTACAAATCAATATTTTAAGTAGATGGCGCCGGTGCATGATACATTGTTTGACAGCTACTCATTGTTCTCTGCTCAGTTAATTTCATGTGACAAACTGGTATTGTGTTTGTAGTTTGAACTCTTAAAACCATTTAGTATTTGCGGGATTTTAGAAAATCATTGTTCTTCACATGGGCGTTATATTTTGTGTGTTCACGAGTTTGGAAACCATTTGCTTTATTTGTGTTAAAGTTAGACCAAAAAACAAAAAATGTGGTTTACAAAGGACCACTTCAATGAAACGGATAATTTGCGGACACGTATAACGCTTCGATTCGGTATCTACTTTGGATTCACTTTCAATTACTTAGAGAAGTTCAACTAAATAAAAATTTTCCTTTTCAAATTTAAAACAAAAAAAATTCTTCATCTTTTAATCACCAAACGAAATGTTATATAAAAGCCTTCTGGTGGCGACACGGAGTTCGCCGGGTTTACTAGTTTGAAATACAAGATTAAAGAAAATTGTTTTTGATGTCAAACATTTCTTATAAAAAATCTATAGATATAAGTCAGACACCTTTTTGACATAGAAAAATAGGACTCATTTCAATTAGCTTTAGAATATAAAATAGAACTCTGAATTATATAAACAATTTATAAACATTTGTCACATATACAACTAAATAGAATTATCAGGATCATAACTAAAACACGAATGAAAATGTACTACATATGCATATCGTATATGAGTATCCAATTTCTCAACTTTCGAATGCGGGTACGAGAAAAGTTTGGTTACGTTGTGTGGTCAAAGCATACAATCATAGCAAAAGGTTCAGAAGTAGAAATAAAAATAATCATCTGTGAAAATATCCCGCTTTTTAATCCGTAACAATTTTCATAGATATTTGTAGATTAATAAAATTTTAAAATAAAAAAAAATTGTGATTAAAGTCAGGTGTAACTCAACCTACTACAAACAATATATTATTAGGAAAATTAATAAAAATAAAAATATTTCATATAAGTTATAGTAAATAAGACAGAATTATATATTTACGTCTAATACCGGCATTTAATTAAGTTTTCCTACATATGTTCATAAACCAAACACATATGTACATGTACATTGTACAGCTTAAGAAATAAACTGAACACTTAATTCTAGTGAAAATGGTTGTTATTTACGAAAGATCATTTATATTTTATATAGGGACCAAGTGACATATTTATATACATATAATAAGCTAAAAGTCAGTGGTATTTCTACATGATATTCTACGTTTTACAAGTGGTCAGAAATAACGTTCAAATCTTCTAAAAACTATTTAAAAGTAGCTAGTTATAAAGCTATTCTTTACTTTTATTATATTTTCAACCAAAATTTCAATTTCCACATACTCGTATCGTCGTAAATGTATTTTACATTTACAACGCAAGCGTAGTCTTAGTAACTAGTAGCAAAAAAAAAATATTTACCGTTGAGCTTTGCGGTGGAGTACCCCCGTCTATAGCTAAAGCCTTCAAGTCATATATAGCCACGGATTCTCTGTCCAAAGCCTTATTAGTCCTAATGACCCCAGACGCGGGGTCAATCACAAAGGAACCTTCCTCCCTGTCTCTGGTTTCCAATTCATAGTGAACTCTGCCGTTGAGACCTACATCCGCATCCGTCGCGCTTACTTGGGTTACCGAAGTACCTGCGTAGAAAAATCTATATAGATCTTAAATTAAGTGATAAGTATGTAATTGAATTCGATTGTAATTCAGTAACATTTCTATTACCAAAAAAAAGTTATTTTTTAATATTGATCTATAGTTATACAAAAATTGGGGTAATCCTCGTATTTTCTCTCTTAAAAGAAAGGAAATCTTACCAACTAACGCATCCTCCATAATACTAGCCGTATACAACTGTTGTTTGAATACAGGCTCATTGTCGTTAACGTCCACTACTGAGATCTCGACATCCGTAGTATCAGATAAGGATGGCACTCCACCATCTCGAGCTGTCACTGTTAGCAGATAACCTAGAAAATTGGACTTTATTACTATGAAGTTAGGGTTAATTATATGAAATAGTTTATTTGCTCTCATTGGTGAGAATACACATCATTTTTTTTTACAGATTTATTTTTTACATTGGGCAGTTGATAATTAAAATTACAACTAAATGTTTATTTTGTACTTGTCATGCTAGCTTACAATCGTAGAAGTGAGCATACAAATATTCAAAGAATATCACTATTAAGTTAATCCTGGGAAGTTTGACATTATGAATTGCAGTGAATAATGTTTATTAAGTGAGCTAACATCCTTACCGCTCATAGTTTCTCTATCCAATGGTTTGTTTGTCGTTATAGCTCCTGTCTGTGGATTGATCAGAAACTCTTGCTCGTGATGGGCCACGGCTTCGTTTGATATTTCTGAGCTGAGTGTGTAAGTTATTTGAGCATTCACACCAACATCACTATCTGTAGCTGACACTACAAGGACTGTGGTACCAACAGGAGCATCTTCAAAGACCTATGAGATAAAACAAAAAATTTATTTCAAAACTTGTCTGCATAAATAGTGTTTCTTTATTAGATTAAGTAATTAACATGAAATTTGGTCTATACGAAATAGGTATTTTTAATCAACAAATTCAACGATTTCTCTGAAGTATAAAAAATAATTTTGGAAGGAATGAATATGGCATAGAATTACAATTAATATGAATATTTATTCATAATTTTGTACTTACCGATGCAGTGTACGGTGCGTTTTCAAACACAGGCGCGTAGTTATTAGCGTCTGTGATATTGATATGAACCATGGCCGTATCAGATCTCCCGCCGGAGTCAGTCGCGGTGACTGTTAGTACATATCGTCTCTCTTGTTTGAAGTCCAACAGTTGGGCAACAGTAATCAGACCTCTACCGTTCTGAGACGTTATTGAAAATCGACCTCGTGTATTGCCGCCGGTTATCTCGTAGTGTAATCTAAATTGATAATAAATTATAAGTTTCCCAGAATTCGCATACTTTAAATTATGAGTATTTAGAAGTTTCTGGAGTTTAATTTTAAATATTCACGAATAAACACCAATTACGTTTGGTGGCAGCGAAGGATGCAAGAAAAATCAGTTTTACTTACATATTAAACTATATTTAATTAACAATTAAGACTTATATTAAACTATTTGTAAAAAGAGGTTTTTTCAAGTCAAAGATTGACTTCAGACTCATAATTTAATTAAAACTTATAATTAACTACATCATAAATAGGTGTCTGTGAATCAGCGGTTGACTCGAGACTGAATACGTGTTGAAACCTATTCCCCTTCCCACTTATGGCTCAGAGTTAGCATTTGATACTTAACAGTTTACACCATTGTTATACTATATACTTATTCCCTGGTTACGCTTGCGTAAGACACCCATACAATGCTATTAAACATTTGATCATTTGAGCGAACTATAGTCTGTTAGACTTATGAGCTTTGCATTTGTGTGAGTGAAAGTAAAAATAGAGTTAGACAATAAAACTTTTAGAATTAAATATTTTTATATTTTAAATAGATACATAAAATAAGTGCTATAAAATAAGCAAAACTTGTAAAAGGCCAGATGGCAATATTATGGAAAAAAATATTATGTAATAAAATTTTGAAGAAACAATAAAAATTCTTCTTCATTTGACATGACATGTTTTCAATTCAACATTTGATGTTGCTACCAGTACGGAGGGTGAAGTGATTAAGATGCGGGGCGGAGCTAAAGTAGAATGAACTGGTTCAAAACTAGAAAAGAACGTGCCGTTCAAAAATTTGACATCACACCTACACTATCTGTGTACACTCACACAAATGCAAAGCTCAGCTTAAATCAAACGCACTATAGTTATAGCATACCTGTTATCTTCGTCAGCGTCGCTCGCTGTGACAGTGACTACGGGTGTGCCAGGAGGCTCGTCTTCCGCCAGTTCCACTTCATACTGCGGTGGTGTGAACACAGGGTCGTTGTCGTTAACATCTTGTACTACAACCACTACAGACGCACTCGCTGATCGTGATGGATTACCACCGTCGGTCGCTGTCACCTGAAGGTTTTATGATCCTACTTAATATTATAATTGCGAAAGTTTGTGAGTGTGTGTGTATGTTTGTTACTTCTTCACGCTCAAACGGCTGAACCGATTTTGATAAAATTTTGTATACAGGAAGCTGACGTCCAGGAATAACACATAGCTACTTTACATCCCGGAAATCCCGGAATTCCGCGGGTAACACAGCGGGGCGCAGCTAGTATGAGTATATATGTTGGCAAATGGTCTTCATGTCCTATCAATTTTTTGGAAATTTTGTGGCATACTAAATAAAAAGAAAGTAAAATTATATAATATTTTAAATTTTGTTCATTTTACATTATATTTGGCATGGACGAAAGCAATTCAGCAAATTTATTAAATAAGTTAATATCCTTATAACTTATGGTTATAAGAAGTGTGACGTAAGTATCACTTTAACAGTAAATGTATATAATCTGATTATTATTTATTTAATATATGATCAATGAATTTATACTGCTATTGATTTCTAAGCTTCTTAGTTTTTGTACCTGTAATTGATACTTGGACTGCACTTCTCTATCCAAGTGTGAAGACGTGAATACCCATCCAGAGCGAGGGTCGATTGTGATGGGTAGATCATTATTTCCATTATATTCTTTGTCAGTCAACGTGTATGTCAAATCTGCGTTTACGCCTTCATCTGCGTCGTATGCTTGTACCTTGTATAGAAAATATTAATACGAATTAAGCCCAAGGTATAAATATGCAGTGCATGTTCTTGGTTATTTCATATATCGCACCTACGATACAATAACGTCGCTTGTGCAATTTATTCCAAAACTTAACTGATTATGAGAAAATACCCCAATCCACCGTTTTACTTGGTGCGTTATTGTTTTAGTCGAATAATACTATACAATTTTCAAGTGCTTCTGTAAAATACGTTACATACATAAGTGACGTTATAATACCGAAGGTGGGATATGTTAGTTAAGTTTTCTTAGCTTTTTTCTAGTTAATATTAAACTCACCCTAACAATACTGTATCCCACGGGTACACTTTCGCTGACGGATTCTTGGAACAGTGAGGTGTAAAAGCGTGGCGGGTTATCGTTGACGTCTCTAACATTCACCAACAGTTGGGTTGTGTTTGATCGAGATGGACTTCCACCGTCTGGAAATAACACATACATGAGAAGTTACGAACGCGTAATATATTTGTTTGTATTACGAAAATATTCTGCTTTAATCGAAAATTAGAAATTCATGAGGATGTTAAGGCCCCTTAGTATTTATTAATCTGACGTCAAGCAGATCTCACCCAATAAAACATTATTATTCTTTTTTTTACATATTCTAATATTAAAAATGCATTTATAAAGGATTTGGTTTACAATGAGCTGTATGAAACTAGAGATTGGTCATTAATACCACTATATACAGGGTGACTGGTGAATTACTATCGATACTTGAGGACGTGATATTTGACGATCATATATGACAAAATAAAAATTAATATAACATAAATATTAATAAACTTCTAAGTAAAGTTAACCAAAAGTTATGTAATTAATTACGCATCGTGAGAACACCCTACAGATTAGGTATACACACACACATACACACACGTGCGGCGGCATGGTGTTGTATCAGCACGCCGCCGCACGCGTCCACACTTGGAACACTTGGAACGTGTCCACACTTTATTTATTTATACGGAAATTTGGTCAAAAATTAAGTACCTATATTTTTTACATAATTCGAATGAGAATCATGTACCGAGTATTCTCCTTAAATATTGATAGTAATTCACCAGTCACCCTGTATAGTTATAGTACGCTTTGCAGCAAATTTATTGCAGGTAAATTGATCGTTTCAAAATGTTCTGTATTTTTTAAATAATATATTTACTTACCTTGAGCTCTTATTACTAGTCGGTAACTCCTGACTTGTTCATAATCTAAAGGCTTTACAAGGGACACGTCACCGCTGAGACTGTCTATGGAAAACTGCATTTGTGTATTCCCACCAATTATCGCGTAGCGAATAGCAGAGTTGGCGCCAACATCTGCGTCTGTAGCTCTGTTAATAAAGATAAAAAATATTGATTGTATTCAAACTAAACTGAACACTTTTTATTTCGAAAAAAGTTATTGTACTTGATAGGTACATCACGTTGAGTAAATATTACTATTATTTTAATATTATAAAATACTGTAACTTTTTACAATAATTTTTTTATTACTCAAAGAAAGTTAGTTATTGTTCAAAATATCAGTAAATTTTACACTGTATTGATTAAAATTCATTAACAACGAACACATTTGTGAATAGCTTACTACGGTCTGAAATCAGGCACGAGGTACTCTTAAACCCCGTTTCAAACTGAGAATTTGAATATCTTAGATTCTATATGAAGGCTGCTATTTATTATTTACTTACAATAAAGTCATTAAAGTAGGAACAATTGAAGTAATAAATGTATCGGAACGTACTGATCTCAAAATTATTGCTTAGTCTAGACTACTTTTGGTACTAGTCTGAGATTAAAGGTAGCGTATCTCGCAAGCAATCAGAAATCTGAATAAGCACGGTCTCTGGAAACTTAGATAATAGACATTTGATTTAAACTTAATTTATAATATTCGTTATTTTATCTTCATTACAGATAAAATAACGAATATTATAAAGTTTAAACAGTTTAAAAGAGCTACATTTCTTCAAAGCTTAAATACAGTAAATTTTTATATCGACAAAACTCTATTAAGTTTACCATTGGTAAGGAATGAAAATTTATTTAAAAGGAGTATGAGGCTTATTTTCAAAGTGATGAATTTATATTAAGAAATTTTTCTGCAGTAGATCGGAGTTTATCGAGAATAGACAGATATTTAAACATTTAGACTACAAATAAAATATCCAATATCCTTTTTTAACACGTCATAGTTTGTGCTTGAAACAATGGCCAGTAAAGTTTAAATATAAGTCCAGAATCTAAAATTACAATGAAAATTAAAACGAGGAATTTATTTTTAAACCTAGCCTCAATGTATTGATTCATTGTATTATTAAGACCAGACGGCTGTCATTTACTGAAAATACCGACCGAAGTTGAAAGTTTTGGAGCGAAACCGTGGAGTTTAGTTAACTTTTTATAAATAGAATATGAAAAACTATTTTTTACAACTATTTTCTATTCAAATTTAATATTAAAAATGTCATTGCCCGCTTATACTTTTCTTTTCATATAAAACAGACTTTTTGGTTTGTACATTATAACGTTCTATTTAATACTTTCTTTAAGAGTACACAGAAATAAAACAGTAGTCTGGTAAGACTTATAACACGAATACATTCAATAAAGTGCAGTATATTCAATCTTTTATAAAGCAAACTAACATATTGCTCCTGTATCCGTTCGAGTTTCGTTTATATATTCTTTAAACATTCCGTAAAATACAATATCCTCTCCATAAACAGCAGTTAACTCCCAGACATATAAATTTAAGCGGACGTCGGCGTTCCAACTTTAAGAATGTCAGCACAAAATAAGCAACATGCAAAAATAACTTCCCTGTCAGTATATTTCCAATTACTTTATAGTCTACAGTTTTTTATTTTTGCTCAGACATTGTACCTATATGATATAAAAGAAATAGCCAATCATGCTATAAATAATCATGTTTGTATTTGTTTTTTAAGATTCAACTAAACCCATTGTGGTAAAATTTCTCATACATATGACATAGCTAAGTTGAAAGAGTGTAACTTTTTTGTTTAATATAGATGTTTCCCAAAAAAACAAGTTTTTCTTTTCTAATATCAAATTGCAGACAAAACCATCGTATTTTTAAATGATATTAAGAAGAAATTTAAACATTTCTGAGCATAAATAAATTAAAAAACTTACTTAATCCGCGCTATCACTGGATTGTCAGCTACACTGATGTCTTCGTCAATATTGACAGTATAAGTCTTCTCACTGAACTGTGGGTAGTTGTCGTTGTCATCTAATATATTGACATGTACCGTGGCACTGAAATAAAAAGATATATATAGTAACAGTGATTAAATACTGATAAAAAAACCATATTAACATATTCATCATTATCATCAGCCTATCAGAGCCCACTGCTGCGCATAGCCTCTTCTCACATGGAGAAGGTTTGAGCATTAATCAACACGATTTGAAATTATAAGTCTAGGTGTCCTCACGATGTTTTCCTTCATCGTCTGTTAGTAGTGTCTAAATACTCTTAGAAAGTACATGTGACTCAGAAAAATCACATTGTTACTTGCCAGGTTTCAAACTCGCGCCCTCATGTATGAGAGGTGGGCCTTTAACCTTTAGGCCACCATGACGCCTTAACATATTACAACACGACAAATTTAAATGAGCTAATCTTATATTAATATTTCTATACTTTCGTTTAATCCATTGATTCTTACCTGCTCGACATTCTATCGGCCAAAGGGCTGGCTTGGTCTGTGGCTTTTACGATAACAGTATATCTTGCGACTTTCTCTCTGTCCAAAGCACTTCTAGTCAAAAGAGCACCACTTCTACCATCAACTCGGAATACATCTGCAGCTTCAGTTTCGGTGACAATGGATTCGTTTACGTCAACAGGATCTAATGTTTCCGCTATCACAGTATCGATCGAGTATTCCACCTTAGAAAAAAAATAAAATACCAGAACTATAATATTATATAACTGTTGCTAAGAAGAGAACTTGTAAAATAGACCATATTCATATTAATGGTGATATTGGAATCCACATTGTATATTAATAGCTTTAAATGTCGTTTCTTTACTTGTAACGAAATTCATTAATCGATTGTGCCACCCAAATCACGATATTATATCTTATATATAGCCGAACTCCATTAAAAAATAATTAAAATTACAAGATTTGAATATAAATTTATTAAGTTTGTAAATATTTATTTTAAAACGAAATATACATTTATATGCATTTGAACAAAAGTTGTTTAATAATTTATACATAGATTATGTAATTTAGATAAGTATAAAATTAACTTACTATAAATTAAAATTTAACGATTCATATAGCTTGTCTATAATTAGTTTACACTCAATCGAAAGCCGAAGTAAATTCAACATTACTGCTTCGTTTTATTAATTGTGAAAGTAAAAAAAATATATATATTCAATTCGTGATAGTATTTCGTAGCAACAAATATATAATAAAACTATAAAATTTTATTAATTTATTTCATTTGAGAGTTCAAATAACATGAAATTAATACTACAACATGTACTCGTATTTAAGAGGTACATTATACACAAGGCGGCTCTAAGGTTGTTAATATGTATAAGCTACCAATGAAATGTCTCCATTATACTAAGCTTATGATAATTATACGCATACCTAAACGTATTGGGAAACAGATTTATATGTTGTTATATAATAAACGGTAGCTTATAAATTATAATAGATCATAAAGTTTTTACTACATCCATAATTGAGACGAGAAGAAATGCGGTTAAAAAATATTTGGAAGAATTTTATGATGGTCATGAATTTATCTTAATTATTAATCCATTTCAAAATGAATTATGATGTTTACATGTTTAGATTTACTTTATTTTTTCTTTAGATAAAACAACAAATGTTATCCAAAATAATTACGTTTGAAATACTTGAAGTGATTATGATTTTATTTTCTAAATCCTATGCAAGATATTTATATGGGAACAATTTGCTTAAACCAATTGGTTCATAAGAAAATTATGCTTTGTTATAAAATTGAGAACTATTTTTTGAATTTAATAAGTTATTAATAAATCTTACCTCAGAATTTTTCCCAATATCCTGATCGGTAGCTTTCAATGTGAGTACAGTTGTACCAGGGCTGGCACCTTCTCTGACAGATGATTCATATTGCTGCATCTCGAAAATGGGAGCGTGGTCATTACAGTCCAATACGTTTATCTGTGTAATTGGGTGATAAAATGTTCTTAGTTAGAGTTGATCCCGCAAGATTTGGACCCTTCAACCTTAAATCTCTTTTAATTGAGTGTGGGAGGAAAAGATAAACCCGAAATCAACGTGGCGTATTTGTTTTGAAGGTCCCTTAAGTAAAAAGATTGTTTGTTTTTGTTATGTCAGCGAAGTTAAATAAATAACAACGAAATACGAGCTAAGATTAACAAGTTAAGTATTGATTTAAAAAAACATATGTGTTTTCATTTATTTCTATATTTCGTATAATCAATAGCGTTTGAAGACTATAATTTTTTTGCATTCCCAGCAAAGAGACCTTCGTGGTGTTATCGAAAACTGTCTTTAGTACAAAAGAGAGTAGTTCTGTAAGCATTCAGAGTTCTTAGCTGTCCAGCAAATTCTTTGTAAAGTTTTATTCTAACCAATATACTAGCTTTTCTCTGAGAATGGAATGAGTATCGAAAAAGGACCCTAGAAGTCTTTTAATCATATACAAAATAAACAGACCTGAAGCGTAGTAGTTCCGCTTCTCGGTGGGAATGTATCGTCTTGAGCAACCACCCTGAAGTAATGTACGTCAAGCCTCTCTCTATCCAATCTGGCCTGAGTTGTCACCACGCCGGTGCGAGTGTCCACCGCAAACATACCAGCAGACCGAGAGTCGAGAAGACTAGACATGGAGTATGTTACTGGACTGTTCTCCGGGTCACTACAAATAATAAGTAGTTTTACTAAAAGAAGTAGTTACACCAAAATAAGTAGTTTTTTTACGTTCCTTTGCTTTTAGAATCAATGAATTGTGAATGAATATTAAACTTACTGGCATCTTAGACGAATTTGTAATTTATTTATACGAAAAATTAAGTGGATTTTATATTTTTTTTTCTTATTTGTTTATTAGTATCGACATCGGTAAGGAATGAAATGAAATATAAAAGTATTTTTTAGTGTTTTAAAACAATTATCGCTTTTGTAAATAAAACATTAAGTTTACTGATATTAACACATCAAAGTAAAAACTCAAACATATGATAAACTAAAGTTAATAACATGTACGATGTACGAGGTAGTAGTAGTTTATTCCCGCCTATAACATCACTTGTAATTTCACGTGCCGCAACGCAATAACTCCGCAATCCCGTCGCACGCAGATAAATTGAGGAAATTGTGTAAATTACTATTTCTGTGCCATTAAATAGGATTATCTTTGACTGTGAGCACATTCACTTATAATTTTAATAAAAAAATCGTTTAATAAGCCTTGTATAACTGTTATTAACTTGTTAGTGCATTATAAATGTAAACGTTGAGTTTCGATTCAAGCAAACGTCATTAATGGTCCAGCCAGTGGGTATAGCCAACGTCATTGGTAATTGGGGTGTTGAGCTTTATAGCCCGCCAGCCATTGTTCGTCGTCACATTACATTGTTTCCGGACCACATTAAATAGATGAGATCATAAAACCTCAACGAGCTGACTTAAAGTCAATTAAAGCAAGCAGATGTTTATGGACGGGGTGTTACTTCTATGACATTAATGACACGTTGGTTATGATATTTATTTCTAAAGTATATTTAAAGATATTTATAAATGAATATTCTGTATTACTAACCGAGCTCGTACAGTTGTAACGATGACGCCTGGTGGTTGTTCCTCAGCCACTGATGCTACATACAAAGCTTGCTCAAAGTAAGGAGACTGATTTCGCAGCTCACGCTTCACGCGTCTCGCAATATCGGTATCATTCAGTTCCTGATGATGATACACTATCTTAAGTCTGTGATCTGAATCAACTATGTTCGTCCTTTCACAGTTAAACGTAAAAAGCACAGAAACCTTCCACATCGGCTCCTGTATACACACATCGTCACTCGATACTAGATCACCTTGACTATTCTCGATGACAAACCGAGAATCGCTTACATCTAGAAATTGGACTCTACACAACTTTTGAACAGTCCTTGGTAGAAATGCTGTTAAAGAATTCACAAACTGTGACTTTTTTAAACAAATCCCCTGCCATCGATCGGTAGTTGGTATTGCAAAGCTAGCATACGTCTCCGATATCCATTGCTTAGCTTCAGCTATTTTTACATCTATGGCCATATCGAAAGGTACTAATAGAGATCGTTTACTTCGACTTTTATTTCTAACTGCAAGATCTTCAAACATCGCACTAGACCATGGATATGCTGTGGACAGTACGCTATATTGACTAGTATCCAATTCCTTCTCCTCTAACAACCTCCAGTCTATATTCTCATGGTAGTAGACTTCTCGTTTATCTCTGAGATGATCTTCCTCAAACTGCATAGCGGAATCATTCTGATCATATACACGATCGAAATCAATGTCATACAGATCTGCATGCCGTCTGCTGCAATCTTCACCAGCGACGATAATCCTAACAGGCAAGCTGTAGTAATCGATGTCTCTTATTCGATCAGAAGTTGAATCCACGTAGAAAGTAAAAAGATTTGGATACAGAACTCCATCACATCTGAGTCGTTTCCGTAACGTCACTAGACCTGATGTTCTATTGACTTTCAGGATGTGGTGAACGAAGTTGGCAGTGCGGTGGACATCGATCGTGTAAGTGCGTTCTGACCCTAACTTGTAGACGGCAGCGTCGAGGACTATATGTCCAGGTGGGGCTGTATCGGGTATGATGATGAGGTAACCGTTTGCGGCGGATAGCGACAACGCCGCCAACAGTGCGACCAGCCACCGCTCCATGATGTGTGCTGTTCACCTACAACAACGCCGCCTCATCCGACATATGCTCAGCTGGTCCATCTGAAACAAAAACAAATTGTAACATTAAATTCACGATTATATTAACATTAAATTGGTTTTAAACGTGCAATTATTTCCGATACATTTCTAAATGTAATGACTAAAGTATAAAAAATAAATCCCTACTAATATTATAAATGCGAAAGTAACTCCGTCTGTCTGTCTGTCTTTTATGCTTTCACGTCTAAACCACTGAACTGATCTTAATGAAATTTGGTACAGAGATAAAGCTGACCTTAAGAAAGAACATAGGATAGATTTTACCCCACATTTTTGAAAGGTTCTTCTGGAAACGCGATATAACCGAACTCCACGCGGGCGAAGCTGCGGGCGGATAGTATTATATAAAATGTAAAATAAATGATATACATATATGTATTACTGTAAATTTACTAAACAGAAAGGCAAAAGTTACCGAACCAAAATTCCGTCCCGTTTACATTTTTAAAGCTTTTCAGACAAAGGTCTTTTAATCCATAAACAAATACTAATGGGAAATTTCGTTTGGGAGCATAATAAAATAAGAAGTAAACGATGCATACGGCCGCTGTTTGCACCTTGTATAATGAATGGCTGGAATTTCATTTGCTAGTAATATTAACGTTAACTAGCACATTTGTATGTAAAAATGTACTTCATACATATTTTTCGTACCATCTATAGTTACATCATTAAAAACAGAAAAATGTATGAGTTTCTTGTTCTGTGACGTATGAAAAGTTTTTTTAAGAGCTCAACTAACTGATTGACTGATTATTTATTTCATTTAACTATATTTAAGTTACTTGTAGTGAACGTTGGAATTTATTTAGTTTAATATATCTTTTAATCGAAAGAAAATAAAAGTAATAAAAGAAGTTTCGAGTAGTTTTTTCGTTATAAATGAGCAGCTTTAAAAAATTTAATCCGAGTTAAATTAATACGTCACACTATCACGGCCACTCGCAGCTGAAACTCGGCGTTGTTAATGAAGAATCTCTTATGGTTTTATCTCAATTAATCTGATGTTGGTTAGTGAAATGTTTTTCATTGTTCGCTGTTACTAAATTGAATTTAAACCACTATAAAATTTAATATAGAAAAGGAATGTAAGTTCTTTCATGTTCAACATATATTCTTTGTAATTACATTTTTCTACTAGCTGACCCAGCAAACGATGTTTTGCCATATAAAAAAATAGGGGTTTGTGATAAAAAAGTAAAATTTTTTGGGTTGCATGTATGTTTTAATGCTACATTATAAAAAAAAAAAAACGTCCGAAAATAAAAAATAAAAAAGGGTGTACAACCCTTAACTCTTAGGGATATGAAAAATAGATGTTGGCCGATTTTCAGATCTATTCAATATGCTCACAAAATTTCATCAAAATCGGTCGAGTCGTTTCGGAGGAGTTCTCTGTCTAACACCGCTACACGAGAATTTTATATATATACATAGATTATAGCTTATTGATAGATATTATATGTATAACATTTATAATAATAATGATGTTTAAATTTAAATACTATATGCTATTCAATAAGTAACAAACTATACTGGAATTAAATAGAGATTCATAAAAAGGATAAAATATTTAACATTGCGGTTTCTATTTATCTATTCATTCAGATTTCATCGCTCGCTGTTTCTGATTGAAATTGAATATTTTATGTAACACGCAGATTATTATATAATGGAAGTACATTAATGTGAAATTTTCTGTATTTTACAATGTATACAAAACATGTACGTATATATTTTATAAATAGTTTACTTTTAGAAGGAGAGTTATACATCTTAATATTTTTGTATTATATACCTCCTATATATTCTTATTCTGTAATAGATGCAAAAATAACTCATGTTCATACAAAATAATAAAAATATAAAGTTCGCTTGAACGGATTCGGCATTTGCAATTATTATTCTGAAAAAACATTGTAACAAAGGCAATTGAGTGAAAATAGATGGCAGTTACTGAGTAATAAAATACTACACCGGATAGTATCTAACAGGGGTCGGGGGTCACTGGGGATAATGTGGGGTGACTATGATTTATTATTAAAATCAGTCAAATTTATATAACTTTGTGATCTTTATAAATTACTTGGGATCGTGTTTCACAGTAGTAGCTTGCGTTCGCTTATTTCGCTGCCCTTTAATATTCTTATAGGTATTTCAAAAACATTAAAATTAGGGGACTCCATTTCTGGAAGGACTAGAATCAAAGTAAACTTTTTACCCATTCTAAATTTCTTGGGAGCTACGCTATCTGACCTTGTTCTACATAATATGGATCGAATACAAGAAAGGTTTATTTGAGATAACCCTAAGCTTTGTAAATTATTAATACAAAATAGAAATCTGGCTAAATTCATAACTTTTGGTCAGCCTATCGCTAATAGCGCTATCTATAAAATGTGTTTCAAATAACCGATTCGTTCTGCTATCTCCACCTTCAGCCGATTATTAGATACTTATATATTTAACACAGAGAAATATTTTCAGGAGCCAGTATAGAAATAAAATACTTCAAAAAATATTATTAGAATGTCTCAAATATTGACGTGCAAAAGTATAAAGAGTGATATGTTGTTTGTATCTAAACACTTTTTCCTTTTTATGTATTTTTACCTTTTGTTGATGCCCGCGCCGTGAGAACAATCCTCTCTTCTTTTTTTATTTATAAAACGTCATCTGTAACAAAAGAATCATTGTTTAAAATGAGTATTAATACGAAATTCGCTTCATTGATATTCATCGTGCTTTCCAAATATTAAAATTAAGATTTATGAGATTCGTCAGTTTAAGCCAGAATGAGTGAAATTGTGCTGTGTAACGTGCTAATTAAAGTCTGAATTTTGATGGAATTTCTGAAAACAAAAAGATATTCTCAGTATAATTAATGACGCTTTTTTGTTAAATCTGTCACACAAACAGTAATTAGTGCTCGCAGTTAGAAGATGCTGAAATTACTTTATAAAGTATAAGAAATAGGATGGACTTCCAACCTGTAATTGAATAAAAAATAAATTATTTTTTTATCATAGCCTTATGGTAGATCGGCTGTCCGCTAGATGGCGATGCAAGTAGTTTTTTGCTTGTTTGTTTTGATGTACATATTTCAAAACAGCATTTTTCTTTAATAATTATTTATCAACTAGCTGCTTCCCGTGACTCCGCCCGAAAAATAGGTTTTCATTTCAAATTCCGAACCGACGTGTCTAACTTTTCTGTGTTAAACCATTCAAGTTACAAAGAAACTTTATAATTTTTTTTAAGACTAAATTTTTTTTATATTCATAGATAAATTCGTCCCACGATAACCTGGCATTTACAGTTTTGATTTGGTTTCAAAAACCACGGAAAAAAAGGAATTTGAAACCAGTTATTTAATGAGCGGTTTTAAAGTTTATACATGCTTTTCTTTAGACGAATAACTGTAATATAGTGCTGTCATTTGTCACACCACAGCATCCGAGACGTAATGTTAGGATATTTGTCCTCTTTGAGACGATTCACATCATCTGATGTTAGGTAAGCTTGACGGATTGCTCACACAGTTTAGGTTTCGGCTATTTTCTCGCTCGAAGAAAAATCCATTACAGTGATTTGTCAAGAATCGAAATCAATATCGGAGTGTGAAAAGAAAAGTCTGACATTTCAATGAAAGAATAAATATATTAAGTGATAAGTTTGAGTTGAATTTACGCATCAATTATCAATAGTCTATATCGTAAATAATATTGTCCAGTGCTTGAAAATGTATATACATATATACTAAAATTATTGCAGTGAATTGAAACTTTGAATAAGCTTTATATATTTTTAAAGTAACTAACTGTAACAGTAAAAAAGTATTGTTTTTTTTGCAATATTATTCATGGCCATATCGTGTCTTTATATGTACAAATTATCGTGAATGAAATCTTTAGCAATAGTAAGACTTTTCTTCAGACAACTTCTTTTGTTTCTCTGGTTTATTACTTATTAGGTGACTACAATTTCGATAGCGTTCAATTTTGCTAATAATCAAAAACTCTTTGTAAAGTATAGGTTAAATTAAATAAATTCTCTAAAACCACCAGTACACATTGGAAACCTTTAATGGAAGCTATGGCTATTCTTTCACCAACATAATCTACCCGTTTAAAAAGCAATACGTTTACCGCGAGCTTATCTTGAAAGAAATCAATTATGGCATGGAAATTTAAATTTTCTAAGAACATTATGAACTGGTGTAACATGTAAGCTATCGGTCGATCTAAATAGCGTGATGACGCCGCCAACGAATCGATATCACGCTAAAATACTTATAACTTGTAAGTATTCCTATTGAAAGCTATAACACTACAAAGTAAGCTTCACAGAAAACTCGATCCATTGTTGAGTCGAAGCTTATAATTAAAAAGTTTTTAATTAAAACAAATTGATACAGGTAGCAACTTATTACCAAGTTATACTATTGAAGAATATTAAGTAGGTGGTTATTTGAACTTTGGTTCTTGTTAATTAAACAAATAATTATCGGGCACTCAATATTAGTAACTATATTTATAGTAACAACAAACACAACTTGTATATCAGAAACTTTCTCCCAGCGATTGTTTTCTGATAGTTCCTTTTGTTATGTGGAATTTTTAATAATTAAATAGGAAATGTAATTCAAAGTTTTTCAAATAAAATCCCTACTAATATTATAAATGCGAAAGTAACTCTGTCTGTCTGTCTGTTACGCTTTCACGCCTAAACCACTGAACTGATTTTGAAATTTGGTACAGAGATGGAGTTGACCTTGACAAAGAACGTAGGATAGTTTTTATCCCAGACTTTTGAAAGGTTCTCTTGGAAACGCGATAGCTAGGAAAGCTAGTAGTCATATATGCAAATAAAATGGTTTGAAAATTTGCTACTTAACTCCCAGATTATAAGTTTTAGTTTATTGGTTAATCGGAGATTAT